CCTCTGGAATCTTCAGTCCTCTGGAGTCTTTACAATCCACTGGAATCTTCAGTCCTCTGGAGTCTTTACAATCCTCTGGAGTCTTTACAATCCTCTGGAATCTTCAGTCCTCTGGAGTCTTACAATCCTCTGGAATCTTCAGTCCTCTGGAGTCTTTACAATCCTCTGGAATCTTCAGTCCTCTGGAGTCTTTACAATCCTCTGGAGTCTTTATAATCCTCTGGAATCTTTAGTCCTCTGGAATCTTCAGTCCTCTGGAGTCTTTACAATCCTCTGGAATCTTCAGTCCTCTGGAGTCTTTACAATCCTCTGGAATCTTCAGTCCTCTGGAGTCTTTACAATCCTCTGGAATCTTCAGATCTCTGGAGTTTTTACAATCCTCTGGAGTCTTCATAGTCCTCTGAATCCTTCCAGTACTCTGAGTCTCTTCAGTCCTCTGGAGTCTCTGAGTCTTTAAAAGGGTGCGTATGGCAACACTAGCTTAAAACCGAGAGTCGTTGTTGGTTTAAACCCGCCCGTTAACTTATATTGACCCGTTAACTTGGATTAGTTTCTTTTTTATGAGACTTTAGGACTGAAGTCTATTACAACACTATTCGCGATCCCATCAATATTTGGACTAAATATGAATATTTAAGGCAATAAATACATTACTAGACGCTTAAGCAAGCCCTAGTTTAGATACATACATATTTATACACGATTTGGTGTGAAGGTTATCCGTTTTGTAACCAGGCTGCGTATGGGAATATCGGTCTGCATGACAATTGATTACGGTAAATTCGGTTGTAAACATAACGCGAGGTTTAGACTAGCAATAAAACTTGCAGAAGTTGACTTCTGCAAGCTGTTTACCGCTGTGTAAATAGCTGTGGTAAGCCAACTTCTGCAACATTTGCATAGTGGTGAAAGCTTGCGGAATTCAAATTCTGCAAGTTTTATTGCTAGTCTAAACCTCGCTTAAAAACACGGTGGATTAACCCTTATTTGTGTGTAGTTTGTACTACGTTATTAACCGTATTCCCTTGTTTTAAGGTCCAAAAACCATGAATTTAAACTTGCTTTGACCGTTATAGAGTTAAAGACAATATAAAGAAAGAGTTTTGGAGATTCTAAACCACATAACAAAGAAACCTCTCGCTCTCAAACTAGTGAGAAAAACATGTGATTGGACATCTTCTAAAACAGCTGACATTGACGTATACACTTGTCATCCTTTTCTAAAACTCTACAGAATGACAAGGACGGCTGTATTTATCAGCTGCCAACAGATTACTTAAAAAACATAATATCAAAAATCTGTTACAAAACAAACCTTCACACCAAATACGACCTATTTCTAACAGCACTGCCATACCCTGAACATTTATCGGTGTCTCGTTCGCTCTCGTACGGAATAGCTAGGTTAGAGTGAGATGGATGATTTGGGCAGGCAGCGCTATATCAGTACCCTGAGTGTAAGCAATATCGCAGTATTTTAACCGACTTCAACAAAAGGAGGTTCTCAATCTTAATTCGGTTGGTATTTTTAGAGACATGATTAAGTTACCAATAACAGTGGAAGGTTACCTTTAAGCACAGAATGCCTGGTTTGATGCTCAGTCGGAATTTTTTTTTAAATATTTCAAATTAGCTAGAAAACTTTTATGTTTGACGCTATCTTAAGCTACTTTGTGAGTTCTTTTAAATTTCTAATAATTCGGCAGTTGACTTCAATAATTTTAAGACACAATTGACACTTACAAGAAAAATAGTAATATAAGTAAAGCTAAACAGAAAATTGAAATTCTGTTTAGCTTTAAAATGAATAAATAGTCGCGACTGTGCGACGGGCGCCCGCAGTGAGTGTGCGAGCGCGACAGCAACATAATTACGCGCGAGCGATAAGGATGGGTAGCTTGGGGTCATTGGACAAAATTCTACGTGCTCACGGACCAGGCTTTAGTATTATGCAATTTTGCAATAACAAAGTATATCCTGTTGTGCTGAATACTGAGGCATCTTATGTACTTACAATAGGTGCTATTTTATAACAACAATATTATTCCGTTGGCGTACACTCAGGGCACTGACGTATTATCACAAACACACAACATCACGTATGAGGGTCCGTCGTATGCACTTATGTCGCCCAGGATTGCAGCATCTTGAAGTCTTCGTCGTCCTCTGCGAACAAATTCATTTTTTATTATAATAATTCATTATTTTCATGAAACAATATTATAATAATAAAGGTGTCTCAGGTAGGTTTCACACTTGTGTTACATACATATAGCATCCCTCAAAAACCTTGGTTAGCAAGTTAAAAAAATAATCAGAAGATTATAGAATTGTTTCAAAGAATGTCCTTGCCCTAAAAGGTGAAGGAACTGAAAGTTTGTGGTGTCTTTATTCTACAGAACCATAGAGATATAGAGAGATGCCAACTAATACGCAGAGTTCGAAACTCAGTATCGCATTAGAAATTCACACACACAAAATAGTCAAAATATGTGCTCATTATCCACTGCGGTATCAGTACTCAACGTTCGAATAATTGTTAGTACTACGCAAGCAATGTAAACTGTTTACATTATGACGTCTGCAGCAATGTGTTCTGTTTTTGGGCATATTGCTGCGACACCGGCCACGCCCCCTTGTCACATCTCCCTTTAGTTTCTATGATCTGTGTACAGAAGCTGTGTTAGTTTTCTGTGCCTATACAGGGTGTTAGGTAAATGGGTACATGAGCCGACACTAGCCCATGTTAACATGGGCATATAAATGGTATGGTGAAGTCAGAAAATTGATATCTTCATTTTAATGATTTTAATTTTCATACAAATCTGATTTTATAAAATTTATTTTGTATGAAAATTTGAAATAATAAAACGATGATATCAAATTTCTGACTTCACCATACCATTTATNTGGTATGGTGAAGTCAGAAAATTGATATCTTCATTTTAATGATTTTAATTTTCATACAAATCTGATTTTATAAAATTTATTTTGTATGAAAATTTGAAATAATAAAACGATGATATCAAATTTCTGACTTCACCATACCATTTATATGCCCATGTTAACATGGGTTAGTGTCGGCTCATATACCCATTTACCTAACACCCTGTAGAAGTGTGACGTACCTTCCTTCTTGGACTTGCTGGGCTTGGGCTTGTCGTGCACGAGCTCGGCGCTGGGCACGTCGGGCAGCGTGTCCGTGGGCACGCTGATGCCCAGCATCTCCTTGTCCAGGTCCTCCTGTATGGGATAAACGATCTATGTTATATCAAATTCAAATTCAAACATTTATTGCATAGAATAGGTATTTTCTTCTTCTTCTTCTTCTTTTCAGCCAAATGACGTCCACTGCTGGACAAAGGCCTCCCCAAGGTTTTCCACAATGAACGGTCCTGCGCTGCCCGCATCCAGGCTCTTCCCGCGACCTTTACCAGATCGTCGGTCCACCTAGTAGGAGGCCTGCCCACGCTACGTCCAGCCCGTGGTCGCCACTCGAGAACTTTCCTGCCCCAACGGCCATCGTCTCTACGAGCTATGTGCCCCGCCCACTGCAACTTGATTTTAGCAATTCTGCGAGCTATGTCGGTTACTTTGGTTCTCCTGCGGATTTTACATTATGAGAACTTATAATATAATTTACACAGTGCTTACTACTATTCTGCTTACATTTTTAGCATGCAAAATGGTCATTAAAAAAGTAATTAATGTTGTAGATACAGCAGTCTATCAGCCAATTTTTGAGATTTCGTATCATTGCATTCGTTGACCCTGTCTTAAATATCTCTGGGATTTTATTATAAATTTTTATGCACATACTGTAGCAGCTTTTTTTGTATAGCGAGGTTTTTGGAGAAAAAATTATTACAAGTCTGCTTGGAAATCTAGTATTTCTTGGGTATATATCCCTTGCCCTTAAAAGCCATAAAGGTCGTAAGTGAACGTATCTCGATTTATACGACTTAGGTGACATTTCATCCGAGAAAATCTCTTCCGATGATTCGACACCTAACAAATTTGGAAGGGAGACATCTCATCCGCGGATGAGATTCTCTCGGATGAAAATTAAATGCCACATAAGTCATTTACACTGACGCCAGTATTCACAAACATTACTATAAGGTCTCACAGTGTGATACACGAACCAATCACAGAGCTCTATTCAACGCTGTGCGTTCTATTTGCTGCTTCACATAAGCAAGCATCGATTGTGAATACGGCCGTGAGTCTTTTTGGCATGAAAATGCCAAATTAAGATTTAAGTGTCGTATTTTCATGTCATATTCAGTTTTCTATTTTTATTTTTTAAAGTCATAAAAGACAAAAACGTCGTAAGTCATAAAAGGCACACGAGTTATAAAAGGGACACAAGTCATAAAAGGGACATGAGTCATAAAAGGGACACGAGTCATATCATACATAAAAAGGGACAAATCAAACGACTCAAGCATTCTTGCGGCCTAGCGCTTACAAAAAAATTCGTACCAACTCCACTTTAGTGGACACTTTATGGTGGCTGTTCTACAGTGGATCCTTAAGCACGAAATTGATCTTCATAAGTAAGAGCGACCCTGCCCAGGCCTAGCCCTGCACAAGATAAAATAAGCACTTGGCCTTTGACTCCAGCAGTAGACTGACCTGTTCCAGCTGCTCCAGCTCCTTCTCCAGCTCGTCCTCGTCGATGTCGTTGGGGAAGGCCACGTTGTTGCTGATGGCGTCCGTGATCTCGCGCGAGATGTCGTGCTGCTCCGCTATGTCGCCAGGCGGAGAAACGGAGCGGGGTAGCGGAGCGGGGTAGCGGAGCGAAGAAGAGGAACAGGGAAATCAAAAGACTCCGCTCCGCAACATACCTCCGCGTCTATAGAAAGACACAGGTCGCAACTCCACTCCGCTGTATCTCTGTCAGATCGTGACGTTGGCTCCATCGTTAGAGGATTATCAACAAACACAACTTTGGTCGTTGTACTGACCATTTCCAGCTCCGTGTCTATAGAAAGACACAGGTAGCAACTCCACTCCGCTGTCTCTCTCTGTCAGATCATGACCTTGTTCCGCTACATCACCTAATGGATTATCAAAGGGGGACTATCTCTACTGACCTGTTCCAGCTTTTTCTTCAGCTGATCTATATCGTCGTTTCAACTCATTGTATGGCACATCATTCAGATCCAATTCGGAACACACTGGCAACGCTTCTCTCTCTCTTTCTCTCTCTCTCTTTCTCTCTCTTTCTCTCTCTCTCTTTCTCTCTCTCTCTTTCTCTTTCTCTCTCTTTCTCTGTCTCTGTCTCTCTCTCTCTATCTATCTCTCTCTCTCTCTCTCTATCTATCTCTCTCTCTCTCTCTCTACTGACCTGTTCCAGCTTTTTCTTCAGCTCATCTATATCGTTGGGGAAGGCTACGTCGTTTCAACTCGTGTGGCATGTCATTCAGATACAATAAATAAGGAACATACTGGCAACGCTTGTATGGCTTCTCTCTATAGACTTTTTATCCATCTATCATTCTACTAAGCTTTCCGGTCATTATGGAAATCATTGGGGGAGGTTTATACCAGTGGTTCCCAAACTTGTTTTGTCTACTTCCCACTTTGAGAATAAATTATTTTTAGCGCCCCCATTTGTAGTCGAGATTCGAGTGCTCAGTCGGTGTCTAAGAGACCTCCTAGTAAATGACGCCTCCCAAGCCTCTACACAACGTCCCGATTTTTTTTCTGGGTCTCTTACCGCCCCCCTTTAAGCCTGCAGCGCCCACAAGGGGGCGTTATCGCCCACTTTGGGTAGACTGGTCTAGACGTTCAGCAGTGGACGTCCTATGGCTGAAATGATGATGATGATCTCTCTACTGACCTGTTCCAGCTGCTCCAGCTCCTTCTCCAGCTCGTCCTCGTCGATGTCGTTGGGGAAGGCCACGTTGTTGCTGATCGCGTCCGTGATCTCGCGCGAGATGTCGTGCTGCTCCGCTATGTCGTCCATTATGTCGTGGACTTTGTCTACGTCGCTGGAGGATTTACAAAATATTTGTTAATTAGGTAGTAATAAATAATAATAAAGCTTCAACTAAACCAACGCGTGCAGCCGGCGTGCCGTGCACGATGGCGATCAGATGTCGTGTATGATTTTGTAGCGATGAGTTCACATCGACGCGTCCTGTCATTGGTCGCTCGTCCTGTCCAGGGTTCGAAATTATCAAGATAATTACGCCGTGATAATTATCAAATAATTATCATCCGTCATGATAATTATCGTGATAATTATCATTGATAATTATCATAGATAATTATCCTTTCGATCCCTGGTCCTGTCATTGGTCGCTCGTCCTGTCATTGGTCGCGCGTCCTGTCATTGGTCGCGCGTCCTGTCATTGGTCGCGCGTCCTGTCATTGGTCGCGCGTCCTGTCATTGGTCTATGCACGCACTGTTATCGCCATCGCAGACGCGATCTGCACGCGTTGGTTTGGCTGAAGCTTAAGACGACATAGCCTTAAAGGTGTCGGTATCGGACTACGAAACAATACACAAAACTACCATTCAGAGTAAAATGTAGTAAAGCATCCATAAAATAAGAAGATTGCGTATTATTGGTACAAAATAATCAATAAATTTATTCATTGATTATTTAATCAAAGATTAAGCTAGAAATTTCCATTTACTAAACTTGTATCAACTAATATTTGAATCTAACCAAGTTTTACAATGAGTACAACAATTTTATTAGGTCATGGTCATGAACTATGAATTAGGCTAGTTAATAAACTTCATTTTAAATGATACTCTACAAAATATTGAGCATCTGATGATAGTAATATTGTTGCCATTAATTTGAATTTAAAAATGATACATTAAATCACGCCTTAAAAATTACTTTTAGGTACTTAATTTAATGAGAAAATGGGTTGCTATTTCACAGAAGTTGCATTGCTGAACATTGAATCGTCTTGTTACATAGACAGCCAAGGCTATTCAAAATGAAAAATTTATCTATCACAAACACAACTGATTAACATTTACTTCCATTGTTCTTAATTATTGTATTCAAGAAGCAAAATTTAAATATTCTTTCTTAATATTTATAATTTGTCAACCTTTAACAATAGAAAGATTGAGAAGCAAACTAACATTGGTTTAATTACCTAAGAGAAGAGAAACAAATCAAAAATAAAGAATTAAAGTTATAAAAAATATAAAGCTTTAAAACATACATGTCCTTGTGAGCGAGTTTCATTGCATTAGCAGCATCCTTCATTGTGTTGAGGACCTGTGCGTTAGTGGTGGCTCCCTCCAGGGCCTCCCTCTGTGCTTCTATCTGTGTAAGAGTGCCATCGATCTGGGTAAGCTGCTTTTCGTAGCGCTTCTTACGTTTTAGGGCGGCAATTGCAGCTGGAAAATGGTCACATTATAATTTTAATTATTTATTAAACTTAACAAAGCACAAGTTTAAATAAATATTTTACTACACAAGTCCTAGGTTCTGTAGGTAGGTTTTAATCGATTTAGTAAAAAAACCTACAATCAACATAGCGTTGTTGCACAGGTTATCTATAGTAATATTATGTGTCATCAACTCAGTAAGATGACAAATAAAATGAGCAATTGTATACATACAAGTTGGTGAGAAAATCAATTACATTAAAAACTAGAAGATCAGTGTACCTGTGGCTGCTAGATCAAATAATTTGTGGTTAGGTTTTAATGGCTATTATGATACTTATACGGATGGTAACAAGGTCAAGTCAACAAAAGAAATTGGATCTAACTCAAGATCAGATAATATAGTAGATTTTTACCTCTCTTGTTCTTCGTTCCATTTTTCCTAGCAGTCTGTATCTCAGTTTCTATTTTCCTCTCTAAAAACTCTTGTTTCTTTATCAATAACTCCTCGGTTTCACGTAATTTTTGGATAGCTTCGTGCGTAGTTGGCCCTTTTTCCTCCTTCTTCCCACCGAATATTTTGCCTAGAAAACTCATCGTGAGCTCCTAAATTTAACTAAGATCTAGAGTTCTTAAGGGTTTCCCAAAATCTTACACTTATTTTACGGTAAAACAACGTAATCGCATTACAATCCGATGAATCCGATTTCCAACAAAATTCGCCTATTTCGCAGACGACGTATGCGTCATCGCAGCTCCATTCAAAACCTGCTACAACATTATTTTATCTGCGACAACATCGCGCCTCCTGAAATGTAAACAAATATTCTTTTTAATTCAGTTTTAACTTTTTAGAGTATACTAATTGAATATTTTATGAAAACAATACATAAAATGGACCATATTAGGTAAAATTAAATAATTCAGAAATATATTTTACCTAAAATAACGGATTTTAGTTTTGGTCTCAGAACGTGCCTCATTAACAGGCCGTCTTCTGTCAAAGTATTACCTTACTACTTTCAATTGACCTCTCTTTACGAAGAAAATATGCGGCGAATGCGACGTCTGTAATTTAGTTGTGTATTAGAAACGTTCAAAATACCCAAAAAAAAGGTGTTATTTCTCAGAAAAAAGGAATGGAAAATGTAAAATCACTTAGGACTTGTTCTTGTATTTCTGCTGAATACGTTTACCAAAATACCAGTTATGGACAGTAAATGCTTTAAGACACTCTCGTACTTACTTTATTTAGGTGGAGTGGATTAAACTGTAATTTATTTACACATGTTCTGAACGTAGCTATTAAAAAACGTCAAACTGAATGTCTAATTCATGAGTCAAGCGAGAAGTCAACAAAAAATTTCACCGCATGCGGAAAATATATTTATTTCTGTGTAATTAACTGAATAAATACCATAAACCTTAACGTGATTCTAAAGAATACATTAAAAATGGTTCGTGTAATAACTCAGGAGACGTACGATGAAGTAGTACAGGAGAATATAGACGAATTTGAAATGACTCCTGAAGAGGCTATAAAAGAAGCTGTAGCTCAATTTGAAGCTCAAGTAAGTGCGAGATTTTCTTCCCAAACACATATTTGAAGTCCTTATAATGTACAGACTTGATATTAATTCCTAATAACGCCATTTTCATACAGTTTCTCCTTCGCAAAGTGATCAAGAAGGCTCTGCTTTTTCATATGATTAGATGTAAAAAAATTAGTTTCTTACAGGGAGTAGATCTATCAAACATTATCAAAGACCTTGCTCTCAACTCAGGGGACGGCCAAGGAGTATCCAGCATTGTCAGTAAGCTGAAAGAGCTGTGCAGTCGGATTGAGTCTGATGATGAAGCCATTTTGAAAGAACTAGAAGCCCTGAAGGTAAGAAACTTATGATTATTAAACTTTCCGAAGTGTAATTAATGTTTTATTATTGCATTAAATTTTTTTAAAGTTATAAACAACTTCTAAGTTAAAAGAAATATGTGTTCAGCTTAACAGCAAACTCATTTTTGTATAGCACCTATTATTGTATTGCTTAATATTAATAATATGCACATATTATGATTAAGAAAGTTAAATATTCCATGAGTAGTACGATTTGGTTTCGACAAACTACAAATATTTTTGACAGGAAAAAGTTTTTTTTTATTTAGTGTAAAATCCTTAGACTACAACGTCAATGTACATATTTTATTTATTTATTTTTAGGTAGAATGTAATAAAGACATAGCGCGTAGAGTGAAAGCTGGAAAAGATGGTGCCTACAATATTCTAACTGGTTTACTTGAGTCTCGATTTAAAAGTTACGTACAAAAATCAAATGAAAAGGATGATAAAATAATTATATCAACATTAAATTCATTAATAGCACTGATGGACGTACAGCCTGACCTACTGGATGAGAAAGGGGCTGATTTGATTAAAAGGTAAGGAAATAAAAACATCAAGTTAAATAAATGGTATCTTATGTAATTGGAATAGGAGCTATTTTACAACAAGAAAACCTTTGAAATCGTTGTCAATCAGTTTTTGACCTGATGATGTCATAGTCCCATTGCTATACTAAATCTATGGAAGAGTTGTGCTTTCAAAAAGTATGTCAAAGACTATGATGTCTACTTTATTATGATAAGAAGTGACCCGCCCCTGCTTCGCACAGGTACAATAATATCATCATCATTTCAGCCATAGGACGTCCACTGCTGAACATAGGTCTCCCCCAATGCTTTCCACGTTGATCGATTGGTAGCGGCCTACGTCCAGCGCTTTCCTGCTACCTTTACGATGTCGTCGGTCCACCTTGTAGTTGGACGTCCCACGCTGCGTTTTCCGGTACGCGGCCTCCATTTCCAGAAAAACACGCATCAAAATCCGTTGTATAGTTTTAAAGATCTAAGCATACATAGGGACAGACAGACAGGATTGCGGCTTTGTTTATAAAAATATTATTATCACTATTTTATAATAATTATTAATTAATTTAGCTATGGTAACATTATTCATATCAAGATATTTAAACAGTGGGAAGTCCCTCTAATAAAGTTTTTTATCTTTTCAGTATACTGGATAAGATAGACGATGGGCCCATATTAATATCAGCTCTGAAGTGGACCAGTGTGTGCTGTGTCAAACACGAAATGAATCGACAGAGACTGTTCGCTAAGAATATCGGTGACAATTTGAAGTTGCTGCTCAATGCTCGGAAGAATATAAGGGTAAGATTTTATAATCTCTCTTTACACAGCATTTAAGGAGGTTCTTTTATGAAATACTAGCTTTTTCCCACGACTTCGCCCGTGAGCTTCATATAGCTTGTCACAGATCATAATAAATATTTATGTTTTATAGGCAGTGCCTCAGTGGCCATTTTACCTTTGGTGTTAATTTCCATTATTTTATCATTTATAGTTTCATACAGTCCATTTTGTATTTTTTGTAACAATTTGAATATTAAGGCGATTATCACACTGCACCGCGAACCGCGTGGCGACATATAAAAAATCCCGCGCGCAAACGCGTTGTCAGTGTGTTGTGCCGCGCGTGTTTTCTATACAGTCTGAGGTACTTGCATATAGTGATTAAATCTGTCGTCCCACGTACCGCGGCGGAGCGCGGTGCAATGTGATAATCACCTAATTGCAACTTCTTTTTAGGTTGTAAGTGAAGCTATGTCAGTCATACGAAAATTCACCTTGGATGATGATGTTAGAGTCGAATTTGGCAAAGCTCATGAGCACGCCAAAGAGTTGGGCGCCAAACTACTAGACCCACTCACACAGTTCCTTAAAGGTATTACTTTACATAATAAATTGAACTAAATGTGATTTATTGGAGATTTAAAGGCTGATTTTACTATTTTAAATATAAATAACATACTTTTGTACTGATCATGCTGATTCTCACCCAATCTTACATCGGAGAAAGGGAACAATCTCACTCACGTGATATTAGGGGAAGGGGGTATAGCGAAATCTCACTATATCTCATTAAGGGTGTCCAAAAATCACCAAGATTACCTCATTATAATTAATGGACTAAGGCATTGGTTCCCAAAGTGGGGGGCGCGGGCCGTCTGTGTACTTAAGTATAAAAAACCTGCGACCGCGGAGAGAATGCATTCCAGACTGCTCGATACGACCAATAAATAATCTTGACTGGAGGAGGGGGGAATTTTTTGTATGGTCGAAAGGTGACGCGTCTCAAATAACTAATAAGTTTGGGAACCAATGCCCTAAAGCTAGCACTTCAGTGCTTGGAGAATGGAAGCGGCACGGGAGCGGTGACATTGACATAATATGACGTTTTCAGAGCACCCCGTCCCACCAGTGGTGTCAGAAACGATGTTAACAATGGCGGCTCTCCTGGTGCGTCATGAACTGTGCGCGATGGCTGCCGACGCGGGCGCAGACGAGGCTCTGTTCGCCATCTTGGCTGCCAATTTTGATTGTGTGCTGGTCATTGTTCAAGCTAGCAAACTGTAAGTGCACTATACTTAATATAGGGTGTCCCAAAAACAACGCGAGGTTTGAACTTGCTGCCATTTTTGCAATAACTGTTGGAAAGAACAACACAGAACACTGAAGAAAGAACAATTTGACAGCTAATAGGTTAGGGTTAATCAATGAAGCGGTTTGCATCGAATCGGAATTTGCATAAGTTACCCTAGTTGTGTATTTTGGTTATGACTTTCGATTTTTTTTTAATGCGAAAGAGTACACTTAACTGGGGTACAAAATTTTATTGTATTATTATAAATTGCTTTTTAAATCTACATACACACATAATTAATATTACTGATATTGTGATTTCGTGATTATGTTTTTATTATAACACACTTATGATTAAAGATTTATTGATAAATACAATACCTACTACAAAATAATCAATATTTAAGTATAATCTTACTAAAGTGAAGTTCAATGAATTTAGAAAACATAAATTAATACTAGTGCAACTTCTAGTAACCACACAATTTTTCCGCCGATTGAAAATGCGACCTCAGAAACAGGCATCTTTCGTTGTCCAAATGCAACGTCTTTTTCTTAACTATAATCTCATTCTCTATCAAAGATCTCTCGTGGATCAGATCTGCCCTCAGTTTCTCCGTCTCCAAAGACCTTTTCTGCAGCAGACTCATGCTATCATTCAAATCTCTGACTTCTTCAAGCAGACCTATCAACGACCCCTCCCTGCAATTTTCGACTTTGGGTCTACAGTTCTTTGTGTTCAATCTCGTCTGTGCCACTTGTAGCCTCTGCGATACCTTAAGCATTTCCTCGTGGAGCGTTTCGAGAATGTTCTCCGTTTCGACAATCTTCTCCAGTGTCAATTTCAGCTGATTCTCCAGTTCTATCTTTACCTGCTCCGTCTTAGCTATCCTTTCGCTCAACGCCTTGTTTACTTTTATGTCTTGTGTGCGCAAGTCCCTAGCAGTGTTTATCAGCACTGCCTCAACTTTTGCTCTCAATTCTTTTGACCTATCAATGGCATGTTTAAACTGGGACAGTGCGTTAACCGTGTACTGTTCCCAGGACTGCACATTAGACTGTCCTTCCGACAGTCTCGTAGCTCCAGCGATATCTTTAACGTTATCAGATTTCGTTTCCAAATCAACGTTCTCGCTTTCGTATTTGAAAGCCAAGTACTTGTCGCTCCAATCCCGTTCCAACGCATTTTTCGCTGCTACATTCATCTGCATTTGATTCTGTATGTCCCTCAACATTTCTCTGTGTAGTCGCTTCACGTTTTCTATCAACGCTGACTCCGTGAATAATTCCTCTTGTGGCTCGTCGTAAATGAGGTCTGATTGCATCCTCAGTCGTCTCAGATCTAGACACTCTTCAGTTATATATTCAGGGATAGTTAAAATATCCATAGCATTCTTCACTTGCTGCCTTTGAGCTTCAAGAATTGCTATTTCGGCATCTATATCACGTATAGCTCTTTCCAATTCTGCCTTCCAGTAATTGATGTGCCTGGCCCGGTGCTTCAATTGGTCTGTGCTATCACTGAAGTCGTTGCAAGAAGTTTGGTTGACTTTGACGATGCTATTCTTGGTGATGGAAGTGTTTTCATCGGTGATACCGATGATGTCCCCTTTTAAGACGCGTTGATTGTGGTCGTGCCAGTTCAATACTGTGCCGAGCCCAAAGTTTCTGTCGCCGAATGATAGATAGTCGCCATTTTCTGCTGTCGTCATTTTGATTTTACTGGACTCTTGTATCTGACAAGATTTTGATTTTTACACTTTCACTCAAGTCGGTAGCAGAAATTGTGTGTTTGAAAGAAAGTCTGTGAGGCAACGAAGAAATATTGATCAAATATCCCAGTACACGGTTACCATGACAAATTCGTTTGTAATCAAGATTTCTGGAATCGTAACAGTGACCTATTTATATTAGGGGAATTATCGATTAATTTCGTAGATACGTTTGATGAACTATTAAAAAAAGATGTATCCGACTGTTTACAAACATTGAGGTAGTAGTCAGCACTTGCCAAATGTTGGTCTCGAAGCGCTGGTAGGGTAAAAAGATTATGAGACATGTAGAGGCTCCTTAAGAGCAAAATGACGATTTGTAAGAACTATTTATTAGTCTAAACAAATAAAGAAATTTTGACTTTGACTTTGTAGAGATTAAACTACAAAAGACTTGCTACTTAGAAAATACACGGTCAGTCACGAGGTCAACTTCTCAAGTTAACGACATATTAGAAACAATCTTGCGACTAGTCAAGCAAATTAAATTGATCTTTATTTGTTACAGAATAACGGCGTTGGCGGGCAACGACGAGGTCAAGAGACAACTGATGAAGGCCGGCATTGCTCCCATCCTTGTCACGTTGCTGAATAGGCATTCGGTAAGTTTTACTAAAAATTAAATACAAAGAAGCTAAGTAATTAATAATTAAGTAAGTATCCTTGCCTTTGTCCAGCAGTGGACGTCATTGATACAAACAAAATTTAAAGCTTTTAAACGAAACAATGGGATTGAATCGGCAGTTTGTCATCACAGTTGCCATTTATTCGCCTGAAAATAAACTTTTAAATAGAACATACCCTCACATTGTTTTTTTTTTAAACTGTTCTCTTTTTGGGTTGTCTGGAAGATATCGCTTCATAGCGATAAAACCGCCTAAATTGTGCCATCTTTCATTATTTTCCTTTATGTTACTGTCCTATTTAGTGTGTACAATGAAGTGTATTTATCTACAAAAAAAAAAAATTGTTTGTTTGTATTGAATATACTCCTAAACTACTGGACCGATTTGTAAACTTATTTCACAATTAGAATCCTACATCTACTAATAAAAATAAGTCGTGTTTTCCTCCCTGACGCTATAACTCCAGAACGCACGAACCGATTTCCACGGTTTTGCATTCGTTGGAGGGGTCTCGGGCTCCGTGAGGTTTATAGCAAAGAAAACTCAGGAAAATTTAACAAAAGAAATTCCACGCGGGCTAATCCGCCGGCGGAAAGCTAGTTATTGATGAATATAGGCGGTACGAAATTCACCGGGTCATTTAGATAATATTATTGTTTTAATTCACAGAGCAACCCCACCGCAGCGGCGTTAATACTAAAGTGCATATCCGCGCTAACGTTACGCGAGCCGTCGCACAGTCAGCAGTTCTTCGATAGTGGCGCACCAGAAGTCATGATAGAAGCCATAAAGAATCACCCCACCGATGCTAGCGTGCAGGTATATTACCAGGCCTGTTCATCTCCGCGAGTTTACATCGAAAACAAAACACGCACGATGGCCCACCTACAGGATACTATTCGACAAGGCCTCACATACGAGCGAGCATTGACTCACGCACGCGTATTCTTGTGTATGATGGACGAAAATAAAGAAAATGGTGTACTAAATACTGTGCAGTATTTAACTGCCTAAATAATAATAAAAACACAGAATGTACTTTTTTAAGTTGCCTCAAGACACTGAGAGGTAAATAAGTAGTTAGTATTATTCATGATAATTCATGCTAAATCATGTGTTTCCTCCGCCATTTTCCGCAGTTTGGCACCTCACGTCACATCATTTTACCGAAGTCAGCCCTATAGCTTCGGCGCAGTGCCGATCACTGACGTTTGTCAACAAAATGGTGCTTGACTCTTGAGACAGGCTAAATTACACCATATTGTTAATGACATTGAGCATACATTTTTTTAAATACCTTCGCGAAGTAAAACTTCTGTACGTAGTACTTATTATTATTCTGTGATAAGATCTACTGTTTACTAACAAAACCCTGGGTGATCTACCACTTACACACTTCTTGAAATCTTAAATGAAACAGCATAGTTTAAGTATACAATCATGTAGTATTTTTTGCCTTCCCACGATCGACTGGACTAATAGCAGGCCTGGCTCACTCCGCGCGGTACATCCGATAATTACCTACAGCGAAGCGCCCCGCCGGCGGGTATTATATCAGTCGAGTGTCACGCGCTCGCCCGTCAGGACGCTGGCGTGCGTTGTAGTACCTAATTCTATGATCGAAGTATAATTTAAAAATGGACATAAAGAGAAAGAAATATTATTGTGCGGCGTTCGGGTGTTTAAATTCGAAAAGAAATCTACCGGATTTATCTTTTTTTTCGCTTCCCAAAGATGCTGAAAGGTATGTTGGCCATGTAGGTAATCAATAATTCTTAGGATAGTATAGGAACCTAACCTACCATGACTACTGCTCAGAATGCGTTCGTTCGTTTCAGCCAAATGTCTTTGTCCACTGCTGGACAAAGGCCTCTCCCAAGGTTTTCCATAATGAATGCGTACTTACCTTATAAGTACCTCATTACAAATAAGTAGATTAATTATTTTTTCACTAGACAGCAACCCTAACAGCGTAAGAAGAGTTCAGAGGCACGGGATAGAAAGAGACAAAACTTGTAGGTGAATAAAATTGTAGGTACGTAGTGCTGTGCGAGCTGAATTCCACTGTATCGCGTCGTAGCAAGATCGCATTTATTTAAATCGTCTTGCGGAGTAATCCTTCTGTACCTGTACTATTACTTATTCTGTGCTAATAGTCAACCGGTTGGCCACCCCTGATCTATTGGAGGACCCTAAGATAAGAAGAAACTGAAAAAAACATTACTAATTTAAAATCGTGAGTGAAGTACTGCCAATTAGGTACTTGAACACAGACTTTCTCCCTCACACGCATATTGTATTATGCTATGGGAGAGTGGAATGGACTATCCTAGTACGGACGACAGAAAAAACTAAACATTCATAAACCACCAGGAAACCAGACACAGGTTAGCGTACCATCCCTTCATTGTCGACATTCCACCAGCTCGCACTAAGCGTTTCGACGACTCCTTTATAATGCGAACAACTAGGGACTGGAATTCGCTGCCTGCTGCTGTATTTCCTGAACACTATAATCCGGGCCTTTTCAAGGCGAGAGTGAACAGGCACTTACAGGGCAGATATGTACCATCCTAGACTGCATCTCACTTAACACCAGGTGCTAGTCACTGCCTTGTCTAGCATAAAAAAAATGTTGCAGACTACATAAGATGCCACTGTATTGAAACTACATAAGAATGACAGCAACCATATCGTATCTGAGCTCGATAGTTTTGTCTTGATGAATGACCTTTACTTTCACATCGTTTTACCATACATGTTTATTTTTCACAGAAAAACGGCTGCTGGGCGATTCGCAATATGGTCGCCAGGTGTCGCGATCAAAACCCTAAGTTCCACGAGTTGGGAGTGGAAAGCCTTCTCAACGAAGCCTACGATCGGTTCTCTAAAGATTTCGGATTCGATATCAAGTCCGCGCTCAGAGATCTTGAGTGTGACGTCAAATTGGATGAGCAGTGGAAGGGAAAAGGGGTCCAGATGGAGAACAATTAAAGTATGACGAAAGGAGGGAGGCAGGGGGAAATTGTAAACCTACATTTTGTTGGGTGTCTAAAGTGGGGGAAACCTACCTTACAAATACAATTTGCCCCCAATCCTGAATCAAACAGCCTCTCTAGGCTAGAAGCTGGTCGCTTGTCAAGCTTAACACTGAGACCTTATGCAGTTACGGGACTATTCCCACCTCTCGTTCCCACCGCTGCAACTCCTGTGTAGCCAGGGTCTTACAGCTTGACCGCCAATAAAACCCAACCAGTGAAGGTCAAGTTTGTCCCGGGGGAAAGTTAAACTGTCATTGGACCCGCAACGAAATAATGTGCATATAAAACCTTGTGCAGTTGCAATTGGGTCTATTTCAATACTCAAATGTTTTCACAATGCACAAGAAACCCCAATCTAAAAATGGCTTTTTTTGGCTAATATTAAAAGTACAGTTTATTATGTTCTACATTTATCACATTCCTGAGTCGCTATCACACTAAGTTTAAATCTAACAAACACTACTTGCAATGAAATAAAATGTATAGTATGCAAATTATAAAACTACAATGTGATAATTTTGTTTAATACTTTTAGGGCTAATTTTTCAATCGACGGATAACTTTTAACTGAAGAATAAGTTTGTCACATTGACAGTTTCAGTATAGGCAATGTGTCAAAATGACACACATTCGCAATGTGTCAAAATGACACATTGCCTATACTGAAACTGTCAATGTGACAAACTTATTCTTCAGTTAAAAGTTATCCGACGATTGAAAAATCGGCCCTTAGTAAATATTTATCGGTGCTTCTAACAAATAAAACCTCAATTTTAATTACAAAATTATTTATTGATTTCAATAAAACATTTTTTAAATCATTTTTTTCCATTAATTATCCATTTGCGGACGAATTATGACAATTATTAGAGATAACATTTTAATTATTTAGATTTACATTTTAATCATAACATTGAAACATTGAATCCTGTATTTATTATTATTTAAAACATTACAAGTCGCAAAATTATTACTTGCACAAAATTATAGTCTCCACATTCAATATTTGAATTATTTTAAAATTTAAAATCAATGGCACATTACAAAGAGAGTGTTGCCTGAATGTTTAGTTAACTGGCAACATTAAAACTACGATTTGTTCGGTGGCAATACTAATATAATACTATCTGTACGTTTGTTACGAAATTATAGATAGAAACTATTACAAAACATCGTATTTCTAATCAGGACAATTTATGTGACCTTATATTTATTTATTTCTAATAATCATATTGCAATGTAGCAATATTGAATTGAAATTAAGTATACCAACATAATAACAATTAAAATCGAGTAAAACTAACGAATAGCCGTTATCCTAATACAAACTAAAATAACAAATTACCAAAAGAACAACAACTTTTGTACCACAATCAAAGGTGCGGAATACTCGTAGTATTATCACACATACCGTTTTGGCCTTAATTACTTTAAAAATAAGAAACATTACTAAAATTACATTAAAATAATGTAAGTACGACCACGATATCTTAATATTAAAGAGAGACATGTCGTAAATTATAAACACAGAGAATTTGTCAAATACATTTGTATCAAAATACAAAATTGACATCATAGGCTCAAATGTTCAAAAACATATTTTATACCCACTACCACTGCTAGCTCGCATCAATACTTATGACTGTAATCATGGACCTATAAAAAAAGTCGGACGGATTCTCATCAACAAAATACTGTGACATTAGGATACATCAGCTTGCCTGTACGTACAGGCCGGCACGCACACATTCACACCCTGATACACCACTTCGAGTATTTTTGATCAACATTATGTACATACCCTGACACACTGACTTGCAACAATGTAAGAAAATTTGAACATTGAAAATTTCGCGCCTACCTCAACGCATTCACCTTTCATCCTTTTAAAATGGCACGGAACAATTCTGTCTACATTTCCAAGTAACATCTGCCGATCTATGTTTTTCTTAAAATAAATGGGTAAAATGTTTTGGCTAACATGGCATCCCTAAATTCACTCACACAATAGACAAACGCCAAAATTTTGCGTCACAGTTTTGTTGTAGCGCGAGTTCCGTCCGCCTTTTTTTATAGGTCCATGACTGTAATTTGTATATTTTAAAGACTGTAAACCCTTGAAAAGGAGGCTGACAATTTAGTGACTGAGTTTCTTGCGCTGCTTCTTCTCAGCACTGGCCCATTTATTGTCCCGAAGAAGTGGTAGGGTTAATATTGGGACGCGTAAAAGTGATTTTTAAAAGCCTATTTGCAAAAATAAATGAGTTTTATGAGTTTTTACTGGTGGGAATTGATCCCAAGACCTCTCGTTTATCTAAATACATATATAAAAGGAGAAACTGACTGACTGACTGACAGATCAACGCACAGCCTAAACGGCTAAACGTAGGCACTTGAAATTTGGAAGGGACGTAGCTTAGGTACCGCAGAGGTGCACTAAGCTTAGGTACCGTAGAGGTGCACTAAGAAAGGAATTCCCGAAATTCCCACGGGAACGGGAATTAGCGGGAAAAACGGGATTCACGCGTACGAAGTCGCGGGCGGCCGCTAGTAGCCTATATTATCCTTCAGATGTATAAGCTACATAATAGTTTTTGCAGGAAGGAGTAACAAACATACATCCATGCTCACAAAATTAAGTATGGATCGAAATGTTTCTCAGACTAAGACCGATTCGACCAAACTTTTATCCGAGAATAACTCCTGGTATAACTGACACGTGAGTTTCAGTATAGGAAATATGTCAAAACTGACGATTTATTCTGAGATTAATATTTATTTACTCTTGTTTGGTCTAATCCACCCCTAATATTAGTATTCCAAAAAGATATCAGTGAGAAGGAATGACATAATGGAATTTCACTGGAAATATCATTCTTATTTCGTGTGGAATAAGGATTTCTTATACGCTATTTCGTGGTCGCTTTTACATACGCCTAATTAAGAATTAGATTCTTGTGAAAATACTTTAAAATTTAACAGTATTAATCTCAATTATAAACAATCTCACAGAGATTCCTTAAAATATCTTAACAATAAAATTATAAAGAGTGATGTGTCGCAAGTGGATTTAAAATAATCCAAAATTATTACAACCTGTAAGAGGTTTTTTCTAAAGGTGACACTAGATCGTTTACTTGTAACTGTCTTTAATGAAACAATACAAGCAAAAGCTCTATTTATAAAACAAAAAAATCCAAAAACCAAATTTTCTTCGCACACTAAGAAAGAAAAGAAAGATTGTTTACTAAAGTACGGCCAACTAGCAGCGATGCAAAAGGTCGATACGACTGTCGGGTTGACAATATATTCTGTCTCTTCCCATCTTGTGTATTTGTCGTAATGTCTCGTTCTCCCGCCAAAATATGTCAAAGTCAAACGGGTTCACCCATGACATTGGGTTTGTTTACATTTGGTATCGCTTCTCGTTGGCCGTAGTTTAGCAACAAAATATCGTAATAAAAATCTTACAATATTCAATGATACCTGAATCTTCTGTTACAAGTAAATGCTCTAACGTGTACGCACCTTAAAAATACTTTTTGTAGGTCCAGCGCTTAAACTCAGTCAGTATGAGACGGGAGGGGTGACATTGACATATTATGACGTGACAGAGTATATAAATCTGCCCCCCTAGACAAAACGCACTTTTTGATCGAATCGAAAATCGAATCCGTCAAAACTCCATACAAAAAAGGGGCTTTTCGACCACTTTTCGACTAGTTTGCGATTATAATTTGCACTTTGTCTAGACCCACTGAAGATCTGAAGTCTCGCTGACGTTTGACGTTACAAAAACACCCTCAGGCACTGAGTTAAGGCTAGACCTATAGTTTTACATTTAAATGCGGTAAATGCACCGTTCAATACATTTTTGGTGGTATCTCGTATACCTTACTGATTCATAGCTCTGTACGCGTGAGCCCGTTCCAAGAATTGGTGGTACTTCCATTTTCTGTAGTTCATGATTTTCTTTCCATTCATGATTGTGTGGACCATTATCTTGGGGTTGTATTCTAGATTTGTCAGTAGCTGGAACAATACAAATATACATTACAACGACCTATGATAAAATAACTTATCATAATTATTAACTGCAATAGACAACATTTGTTCCCACCGCTGCAACTCCTGTGTAGCCAGGATCTACAGCTTGACCGCCAATAAAAACTCAACCAGTGTAGGTCACGTTTGTCCCGGGGGAAAGTTAAACTGTCATTGGACCCGCAACGAAATTAATCAGAAGAACATAGGAGTTCGAAGTTTTTCATCTAGCTAGTGCAAAGCAGATGACATAGGTGACTAAATATTTAGTAACCTTTAAGAAAAGATAAACACCACAGTAAGCAATAACTATGGGGGCCTATCTTGTGTGCTTATTAGCTACATATCAATAATATGTTTCACAAAATCGCTTGAAAGTACTGAATTTTGCACTGGAGAGGAGATTGCCACATAACCCACTGGTAGTCCCCATAGACCAGTGGGCATACCAAAGCATTTCTCGCCGTAAAAAAGGGCCCAACAAGGTGCCTAGTGGGTCTTAAGTATTTTGAATACCCAGATAATGTGTATTTTGAGAAAGTGTTAGTAGTTTCTTGCTAGTGTATACGAACAAACTGTGGGTGGAAGGGGCCTGTTTGGTACTAACCTTAGGAGTGAGCAGGAAATACTGCGCGTTGTCACACTCGGTGGTAACTTTCACCAGCAACTGGAACATTTTCCGCTCGTTGATGGGGTCCATGCCTTGATTGATCTCATCCACGCATCTGAAGGTAAAATAAACATAATAATAATATGTTAGTTTAAAAAAACCTGAGCCGTTGGGGTAGAAATGTTCTCGAGTGATGACCACGGGCCGAAAGACATAGTATTAGCAGGTATCCCATTAGGTGGACCGACGATATGGTGAAGGTCGGATCGGTCGTTGTGGAAATCCTTGGGGGAGGCCTTTGTCCAGCAGTGGACGTCATTTGGTTGAATCGAACCAATTAAAAAAAGGAAGACAAAATTAAATCACTTAAGAAGTGTTTTTGAAATTGTATATCATTTACCATATTTTATATCGTAAAAACCGATATATTTCGGTAACTAGATAAGCAGATACATAATTTAAGGTCCCATTATTTGTATTGTATTGCTGTTGGTTTAACGAATAAAATAAAATAAATAAATAAATAGTAAATAAAACTGTGTATCTGCATATGTTACATACAACCCGGTCGAGTAAACTGCGCACCTGGCTGGCGTGACGTCACATCGCCGCCCCGAGGTGTACGTGAGTCGCATTTCAGGGTGGTGCGTAGTAACTCGATAGGGTTGTATGCGGTCTATTGTCTATTTGAGGACTCCAGGCGACACTTTGGTGTCCTTCGATCACCCATGGATAAGAAGTCCACTTTGATCTTCTAGCTAGGTGACCTTATCAAAGGACACCAAAGTGTCGCCTGGAGTCACCCAGGTGATCAAAGTGGAATAGACCATAATACGTGTGTCACAATATGTGCCAACCTGAAAGGCACGGTCGTGAGCCTCTGCAGAGCCATGAGGTATAACGCAGTGGATAGCGCTCGCTCGCCGCCGGACTGCGCGTGACGGGTTAACTGCTGCAACTGCTCGGCCGCTCGGAAGCGTCAATGTAATTAATTCTAATTCCACCAGCCCCCTTCCATCACCGGGGATCCAGACGAAGGTTAACGTACCATCCCTACATTGTCGACATTCCACCAGCTCGCACTAAGCGTTTCAATTACTCTTTTATAATGCGAACAGCTAGGGACTGGAACTCGCTACCTGCTGCTATCTTTCCTGAACACAATAATCCGGGCCTTTTCAAGGCGAGAGTGAATAGGCACAGGGCAGATATGTACCATCCTAGACTGCATCTCATTTAACACCAGGTACGATTGCGGTCAAATACCTGCTTTGTCCTGCATAAAAATGTTTCTCGTGGGAGCTTGCGCCTGTGAATTGCGTGTTCAAACCTGAAAGGCACGGTCGTGAGCCTCTGTAGAGCCATGAGGTATAGCGCAGTAGATAACGCTCGCTCGCCGCCGGACTGCGCGTGACGTGTTAACTGCTGCAACTGCTCGGCCGCTCGGAAGCGCACCAGGATGGATATGCCGTATTTGTCGTAGTCCTCCTGTGGAAAGAAAGAAAGAAAGAAAATAAAGAAAGAAACAATAATTGCCATGGACATCACACAAGACAAAAGAGTAAGGTAACATCGCCTATTACGGATGTTTCTTGGGTAAAAAAGCAAGAGTTTTAATTAGTCCGTCAGTTAGCTTATCAAAAAATACTCGACACGTATTTTTAACTTTTTCAAACTAATGAAAATGTAAAGAGATAAAGCGTGCCACAGTTCTAAAGAAAAGGCCCGTGACGTCAATAAGTGCTTAAAAGTGCAGCACTTTGTGACGTCGCGCGGAACTTCAACACACTATAACTTTGTAATATTTGTTTGATTGACAATTAAAAATGTACGTGTCCAATATTTTCTATATAAAAAGAAAGTCGTGTTAGTTACACCACTTATAACTCAAGAACGGCTGAACCGATTTAGCTGAAAATTGTCAGGGAGGTAGTTTAGAACCAGGAGAAGGACATAGGATACTTTTTATCCCGTTCGAAATAAAAAAGAAGGCTGCTTATTTATTGCCATTAAGACGGAACAAAGTTCGCCGGGTCAGCTAGTTTTATATAAAAATTTACGGACTAAACAATTTTTTTTAGGAAACTAGCCTTTTACGTCCATCTACCTATTCGCGTCCAAACAACGGATCATTCTTTAAAAAAATCAATAATATTTTATACAGTTTAGACCAATATTATGTCACTTACGAATGTCAAAACGAAAAAAGGGTAACACTTAAGATTTCTTCTTATTTTTTGGGCCCCACCAGCGTTTCGAGACAAACTCAACAATCACCACTAGGTGCCCAGTCATTATTTGAAAAATAAAATTTAGGTTTTGTTAGTGTATGGTTATTTTCCACTGTTAAAAAGGATGGACCTTTGGACGCGAACATGGCTCTCATAAAATATTTTTGATAAAGCGAACAATTTTCAAAGCATTATAATTTCTTATAGGCATAACTCGTAACTATAGTGAGCCAATGGCAGAACGCCAATGAAAAATTAAAGACCATGTTTAGCGTAAGACATGTAACTTTCATCAAGAACCTACAAAAGATAGCTAGCAACTTCTAGCTATAAGAAAAAGTAAGTAAGAATAAATAGTAAACTCACATCGCTCCCCCCTTTGTCGAGTTTGATTTCGCCAGCGCAGCCCAATTTAGCGAACATATCGCCGAAACTCTTGTCTATGTTCTGTAATAGAGTCTCCAGTGGCGGCAGCCATTGGGAGCTGGAAATAAGTCAATTTGATATTGAATTTCAATGAAATATCTGACGTTATAATCTATACTTACTTAGGTATAATAAATCTGTAGAGAGGTCAATTATGTACATGAAATATATTTTCAAAATAACAATCAGGGGGTGATTAGTGAACGATACTGATGCCAAAAATGCAATCAGTAAAATTTTTGTCTGTCTGTCAGTATGTTCCTTATAGAAACAAAAACTACTCGACGGATTTTAACGAAACTTGGTACAATTATTCTTCATACTCCTGGTCAGGTCATAGTATACTTAGGAATTCCCACGGGAACGGGAATTAGCGGGAAAATCCTTTTGTATGAAAAATCGAAACCGCTTAAGTTAGACGCTTGAAATTTGGCATGCAGGTGCACCTTAGTAAACTTAAAGCTTAGTTACAACAGGATATTGCAATATTCCCACGGGAACGGGAGTTAGCGGGAAAAAACGTTTGTATGAAAAAATCTAAACCGCGTAAGATAGATGAAGGGGGTAAAACAGGATCCACGCGTACGAAGTCGCGGGCGGCCGCTAGTATTCATCAATAAAGAAATAAAAAATAGGACACAACTTGAAATAAATATTTAGGTGCAACTGCACCGAAAAAAAGAGAAAATAAGGGTGGCCTATAGGTCTAAACTACGGCCAACGAGAAGCGATACCAAATGTAAACAAACCCAATGTCATGATTGAACCCGTCTGACTTTGACATATTTTGGCGGGAGAACGAGACATTATGACAAATACATAAGATGGGAAGAGACAGAAAATATTATCAACTCGACAGTCGTATCGACCTTTTGTATATCGCTGCTAGTTGGCCGTACTTTAGGGTGTTTTTTGTTACGACAAATGTCAGCGAGACTTCAGATCTCCTTCAGATTTTTTTATGGAACAGAAGGCAAACGAGCAAACGGATCACTTGATGGCAAATGATTACCGTCGTATCGAGTATTTATACTCTATCACGTCATAATATATACGTCAATACTTGTAACGCTACCTGCAATAAATACAATCATGAATATAAACTTTACATACTTGAGTATTCGCATTTTATCCTCCAACTGTTTGTTGACGTCGCTCGAGCTAGAAACGTCCGCCTTGAGTTTGGATATCATTTTCTCTCTTTCTTCGTATTCTTTGATGACCTGTGAAAGAAAATGTTTCTTATTGAAATTAAAGTATCATTGTCAATCATTCATTTATGATTATTTGAATCTTGTTTATTTGCTTCAATATCATAATTACTGGCACAAACCGCTCCTTGTCTTGAAAGGTACAGACAGACGTGCTTTAAAAAAGCATGCTCATAAGTTTGCTTAAATTAAGCATGCTTGCAACTGTTCAATGAGGGTTTTCGCGAATGAAAAATCCGCCAGATGGCAATACGTAGACGCGAGGTCCAAATGCTGCATGATTGGTTATTTTTGACATGACATTGACAGATATGTCAAAATCCACCAATCACGCAGCAGTCAGACCCCACATCCACGTCCCGCCATCTAGCGGATCTTTCATTCGCGAAAACCGTCATTTGCCAGCAATCAGCATGCTTTTTTAAGCATACTTATAAAATATAAGCATGCTTAAAACTTGTTCAGTCGTAGGTACTTGGAGCCCGCCCCTTTCCACCCACCTCAGATAGTATGCTCAAAAATCAAACGTCGGTTGATTTTTAAGTATTTTAAGCATGCTCATTACTAGCAATTTTGCGACACACATGCTTTCGTGCTACTAATGAGCACGTCTATCCGTAATTTATAGGATGTTTTACCTATATGACATTGTAATCCATATCTATCCATTGTAATGTTTTACCTGCTCATCCCCCTGGTCCATACAGTCGATCCTGGTCTGCAGTTCAAACATGTGCTCCTGGAGACTATTCACATCAGAAGGCAGCACGTCGAAGTCGTCCTTGTGGGGAAAGTCCGGGTCTTGCGGCAGCTTGTTGTCACACGACCTAAAGTTTAAATAAAAAAAGTTTTCCCTTATCGTTGCAAGACAACATAACAAAAATTAGCTTAGCAAGCTGTATAGAATGAATTTTGAAACACATATTGACTTGTAGCCCCTTATATCTGTCGCTGTACTGGTTACATAGCACCACTGGGTGCCCACGACACAGGTTATTCCTAGTGTGGGACCCGCAGACAAAGCAATATAATGTTTACCGATTTCATTGTTACCATTTGTATTTGAAGGTGTATGCGTAAACGGTGTGTTTGCATAAATGAAATATTTGTATTTGTATCAAAAAGAGGTTTACCCAGCCCCGTGACATTTGTGATTCCGAAATCACTTTACTTCAGTGTTTTTTATGAAGTTACTTGGCTCCTTGAAGCGATTTCAAAATGAAAACTGTCACGTTTTGTAACTTGTCCAGGGGAGCAGGACCGTTAAACGTTAAGTTACCCAATTGAATGCCAGCGTCTAATGTAACTACCCAAATGGCTGCGACATATTATCGTGAAGCAAGCTATAGTCTGGTCTGCGAGCACGTAGAATTTTGTCCAATGACCCCTAGCTACCCATCCTTATCGCTCACAGACCGGGCTTTAGTCCAGAAAATGCCTGTGAATCTTCTGAGTCTTACGTCTTTACACTCTTGACCGCGTGCTCGTAGTCGTCAGGTCTCGCGATCATTGCATGTTGATGGTTAGCTCAGTGCATTCATTTAAAATTCTTATACAAGTGTATAATCGTAATGTAGGCCTTGTATAAATATGATTAGGTATATAAATTCTACAGTTTTACTGACCTTTTAGCTTCCAGAAGTTTCTCCTTAGCATTGGACTTGGCCCTGGCAAGACAACTTTCGATGTTTTCGAGCGTGGTCTGCACGTTACGCAGCTCGTTCTTAAGCTCACGTAGTTCTGACTCTTGCTGTACGATCGCGTTTCTGCTGAAGTCCAGTTTTACCTGTGGGAGTTGTTATTCCGGTCACTGATGTGTGTATAAATGTTTGCAAAGATGCATAAAAAAAAAGGTGTGGGATATTTATAGGTCGCTTAACTGAGTTTCTGAGATATACAGGGTGGAAACGATAAGTGATCTCACTCGATTATTTCTAAACTATACATGATATCAAAAAACTAGTGACTGATCCTGAAAGTGCTTCATGAGCTCTATCAAATGGTATTAATAATAGGTTACAGAATAAACTGGATCTATCAGAAAATTCAATGTTTCCAGCTTCCATACATTTGTTAAAGTCACATTATTTTAAAAACTACACATGATATCGTAAAACTGATTACTGATTCTAAAAGTGCTTCATAAGCTCTATCCAATGGTATCAATATTAGGTTACAAAATAAACGGGATCTATCCAAAAATTCAATGTTTCCTTCTTCCATACATTTAGTACTACCACAGTCATGATACTCATCTCTTGACAATATTATAGCAAGTAAAGCCTAAAACTAATGTTTTTTATGAATATTTTTAAAGACGAATACAATTTACGAGTTTATTTTAAGAGTTTATTATTCAATAAACAAAAATACACTTCTAATATTGTGTGTCTGGCATACATTTAGTATGGAAGCTGGAAACATTGAATTTTCAGATAGATCCAGTTTATTCTGTAACCTATTATTGGTACCGTTTGAAAGAGCTCATGAAGCACATTCAGGATCAGTAACCTAACCAGTTTTTCAATATCTTGTATAGTTTAGAAATAATCGAGTGAGATCACTTAACGTTTCCACCCTGTAGAAGTGGCGGGGGATTGACATGTTATGACGGGACAGGGCATACAAAGGACATCCATTTTGGTCCAAAATCAAAAGTGCCGGCCAAAAAATAAAAGTGCTGTATTCGGATAGAATACGTCCGCCTTAGCATTTATTACTATGGCACCAAAGCTGTAGCACCACTGTGCATCGTAGTATTTGAGTTCTAAAAATATATGAAACGACTGACTTTGATCTCAAATACTACGACGCACAGTGGTGCTACAGCTTTGGTGTCATAGTAACAAATGCTAAGGCGGACGTATTCTGTCAGAATACAGCACGTTTTTTTTAATTGGCCGACATTTTTGATTTTGAACAAAAAATGTATGAATCGTCGATGAATTTTAGATCTCAAATACTCGACGCACAGTGGAGCTACGGCTTTGGTGCCATAGTAACAAATGCTAAGGCAGACGTATTCTGTCAAAATACAGCACTTTTTTTTGTTGGCCGGCACTTTTGATTTTGGACCAAAAATATATGAAACGTGGATGATGTCCTTTGAAGGAGATCTAACGCTACTCGCTGGCATTACACCGTCACAAAAGCACCCTCCCTTGTCGCTCCCAAACCTCAGGCACTCAGTTAAGCGCTAGACTAACAAGTTAACATTTGAAACCTTGTGCAAAGTTGTTTAAGTCCTGAACCCGCTTGAACTTCGGTCTGTCACAGAAAGTCTTTTCCTTTCCAAAACCAGGATCATCATCTCTATACCGTCAAAATCGGTTGTGGTCTTGTAGTTTATATTTTCTTAAATGTTACCACCATGGCAGATGGTCGATAAAATACCTCTAAAGCCCGGTCTCTGAGCACGTAGAATTTTGTCCAATGACCCCAAGCTACCCATCCTTATCGCTCGCGCGTAATTATGTTGCTGTCGCGCTCGCACACTCACTGCGGGCGCCCGTCGCACAGTCGCGACAGCAATATAACTACGTGCGAGTGATAAGGATGAATAGCTTTTGGTCATTAGACGAAATTCTATCTGCTCAGCGACCGGACTTTAGTAATAGTGATTTAATAACTGACCTTCCACATCTCCCCATTTAATATCATGGTCTGCAAGCTCTTCATAGCGTCACTTAACTCCTTATGAAGCTTGCCCTGTTTAATGACGCAATCCCGCTGCTTCCTTCTACATTTATCTCTCTCTTGCTCGATGTTGAAAGATGGTTCGTTCTCTATGTCCTGGACTTTCTTGGTTTGGAGCCGGATTTGAGCGCAGATTGTGCGTACCTGGTGGTGGAAGATAGAAGTTGGTTAGAAAGAGATATATAAGGTTTAAGTGATTGTTAGAAAGAGACAAAGAAGATAGAAGTGCCTAAAGGGAAAGGAGACATTTAAATATAATGACACAATAATATGAAGAAAACGTAAAGGTCAGTAAATTACACCCGTATTCACAAACGATGCTTGCTTAAGTGAAGCAGCAAATCGAACGCACAGCGTTGAATAGAGCTCTGTGATTGGTTTGTGTCACCCTCACCCTGTGCGTCCACGCGCACTGTGAGACCTCATAGTAATGTTTATGAACACGGGCGTTAAAAAAGAACTATCCGTTATTTAAGAAATTATTACAGTTACACTAGCCAGCTGATCGGACAGCCATCGTTGCATCAAATAGTTTTTCAGATTGTTTTCTGATACACATTTCTGTTCATCAGGACGTTCCTCCAAAAGTATTTATGGTATATCAAGATTTCTTGCCCATGACTGTTTTATTTATTTATTTTTCTTCATTAAAGAAAAGTATAGAATTTTATTAACACACATGTCATTAGAAAGAAAGAAAGAGAAAAGTTTCAAAGTAGAGTTTATAGCAATTCTTACTTTCTCCACTCCCTCGCTGATTCGTTTCCTCCGCGTGTTCAATTCGTTCAAATTCACTTCCAAAGCGGCCACTTTCTCGTCCAACTCCTGCACTTTGCTCCTGTGAGACTGGCTTGCCTCCTCGAATTTTGACAATCTGAATTAACACAAACATTTATTAATTAGAAACCTTACTTATTGATTTGTTTCGATGTCCAATACAGTACACTTTTGCACCAAAAATAACAGTGTAAACTTCTTATAATGTCACTAAGGGAATGAGCATTTTTTGACATTATTTGACATTATAGAGAATTAGAGAGAGAAGAACATCCAGTGTGGCAAATCCTTCAAAGTAGGATATTAGTACTGAACTAACAGAATCTTTATTGACTATAGTTTGGTCTGCGACGGGCGGCCGCAGTGAGTGTGCGAGTGCGACAGCAACATAATTACGCGCGAGCGATAAGGATGGGTAGCTTGGGGTCATTGGACAAAATTCTACGTGCTCACAAACCGGGCTGTAGTACTGATTTAAATTTTTTCAATGTCTCTGTCTTTTTGTAGCGATTCTTTAGTTGTGACTATTCGTCCATTCATCATCATTTCAGCCACAGTACGTCCACTGCTGATCATAGGCCTCCTCACATCGCCCGGTTGGTAGCGGCCTGCGTTTAGCGCCTTCCTGCTAAGTGCTACCTTATAAGCGACTATTCGTTACCTACACTAATATTGTGAACAGGAAAGATTTGACCTTTCACCACTAGAATCGTACATCTAATTAACATAAACGGTACTAAATTCGCCGGGTCAGCTAGTTCTGTGATAATATGCCATCAGTCATCATCATCCTCATCATCATTATTTCAGCCACAGGACGTCCACTGCTGAACATAGGCCTCCCCCAATGACTTCCACATCGCACGGTTGGTAGCGGCCTGCATCCAGCACCTTCCTGCTACCTTTATCAGGTCGTCGGTCCACCTTGTGGGTGGACATCCCACGCTGCGTTTTCCGGTACGCGGCCTCCATTTCAAAGCTCAAAGTTGCACAGCGTGCTATGGAGAGGGCTATGCTCGGTGTTTCTTTACGAGATCGAATCAGAAATGAGGAGATCCGTAAACGAACTAAAGTCGCTGACATAGCCCGACGGATTAGCAAGCTGAAGTGGCAATGGGCAGGGCATATAGTGCGCAGAACTGACGGCCAATGGGGCAGAAAGGTGCCATCAGTCACTTACTGCGTATTGTAGTTGTTGAGTTGTTCAATATCAACGGTGTTGGCAAGCAACTTGGCCGGCCTGATTTCGGTGGTAGAGCTAGACTTGGCACCGCTGTAGGCTGACACGCGCACGGTGAAGCGGTGGTTTTCTGTAAACAAAATAGAATATGTGATACACATAAAAGCTGCCTTAAGTCTTATACATAAGGCGCAATATCGATTACAAGGTCTTTAAAACTTTGTACGAACCAACACACTACTAGAAAGACAGAGTGTGGCGCGAGCGCAGCCCCAAATCATGAAATTAATTGTTTTAACGCACTAACCAAACACAAACATAGATGTTCGTTAGACAGACCGAAAAAAAATTATTGTTGTACAAACACAAGCATTACTTTTCTCTCAGCAATCTTCTCTGTTCGCCCGTTCATCAAGCAGTGGAGTTTATTATTTAGGCAAACTAGTGTCCGACCGAAACAAGTTTTACGACCGAAACCGAAACCGAAAACGAATTTCGGCAAGGGTGTCTATTTCGGCCGAAACCGAAAACGAAACCGAAACTTCCTTACAAAAGAAAAATAAAGAAAACGTTGTTATAATCAGTCAGTCTTTATTGTTTTCTCTTTAAATTGCATTAAAATTGAACTTATAAAATTCCTTTTTACTCTAAAAGGTATCAAATTATGTATTAAAAAAGAAAAGAAGGATTTATAGTCTAGATTTTTTTTTAATTACTCGCAATATTCAGGACATCTACATAGCCCGTCCCATGGTCGGGTATGGTCGGGTCTTTTACCTTAATAATTTCTCAAAACAAAAATGGTAGGTAGTACGTAAGTTAGTATCTACTGTACTTGCCACTTGGATACATTGGTGATAAATACTAAAATGAACTTTGAAACTCTGATTCCATAATATGATTACCATGAAATGCACTATAGTGATTACTATAAAACTTACCAAATTCAAAATAAATCACTCGAAAACTCGCCACCACTACAAAACCAAAAAACAAGCGAGCGAATCACGACATTGGCTTGGCTCTGATCGGATTCATTCACTAATTCAACGCGCCGAACATGACCGATAACAGCGCGGAAACTCCCGAATGCACATTCGGTTTCGGTCGTAGTTTCGGCAAGTTTGCCGCCGAAACCGAAACTAAACCGAAACTCGTGTCTTTACCGAAACTCAACCGAAAACGAAACCGAAACCGAACATTCGGTCGGACACTAAGGCAAACACGGCTGGCTAATTTTCGGAAACAATTCCAGGTCATCCGTCCATCGGGTAGGTAACAAAGTTTTTAATGTACACTCACACACACACAAGCTGCCTATAGATTACTTTGCTTTTCATGTGAAAATTTTTTTTCTTTGCTTTTCATGTTTTTCTCTCATCAATCTTCTCAGTTCGTCCGTCCATCAGGCACTGAAGTTTATTGGCATCTTTAGATTTTAAGACAGAACACTATCAAAGTGTCTATTTCCCAGAAAACAATTCCAGGTCGTCCGTCCATCGGGTAGCAAAGTTTTTTAATGTACACACACAAGCTGCCTACAGATTTCAAATTCAAACTGAAGTTGCAGCTAATACCCGAAAAAAAAAATTTTTTTTTCGGTCGTCAGTCCATCAAGCACTCACCAGTGAAGAAGAAGTTGATGTTATTCGGCACCTTCCCGCTGTTGTTATACGTGTGCTGGTCGCCGATGGGCACGCGGTGGATGCCTTACTGCTTACACAAGTAACGCGTGATCATATACACCTTATGACTAGTACATAAGGTGCAGAATAGATTGCGGCGCAATGGTTACTAGATAGACCAACTGTGGCAAGTACGTATAACTGTGGCAAGGCCTTAAGCCTTACATAAGGCGCAATATCGATTACCATGCTCTTGGAAATTTGTACGAACCAACAGACTTCTAGATAGAGCGTACGACGCGAGCGTATCCCCAAATCATGAAATTAATTGTTTTAACGCATTAAACAAACATTGATATTGATTTAAAGAGATAGGCCGCAAGAAAGTATGTTTTTTGGCTGTTCAAACACATGTGCATTACTTTTCGCTCAGCAATCTTCTCTGTTCGCCCGTTCATCAAGCAGTGGAGTTTATTATTTAGGCAAACACAGCTGGCTAATTTCCGGAAACAATTCCAGGTCATCCGTCCATCGGGTAACAAAGTTTTTAATGTACACTCACACACACACAAGCTGCCTATAGATTACTTTGCTTTTCATGTAAAAATTGTTTTTCTTTGCTTTTCATGTTTTTCTCTCAGCAATCTTCTCAGTTCGTCCGTCCATCAGGCACTGAAGTTTATTGGCATCTTTAGATTTTAAGACAGAACACTATCAAAGTGTCTATTTCCCAGAAAACAATTCCAGGTCGTCCGTCCATCGGGTAGCAAAGTTTTTTAATGTACACACACAAGCTGCCTACAGATTTCAAATTCAAACTGAAGTTGCAGCTAACACCTGAAAAAAATTTTTTTCGGTCGTCAGTCCATCAAGCACTCACCAGTGAAGAAGAAGTTGATGTTATTCGGCACCTTCTCGCTGTTGTTATACGTGTGCTGATCGCCTATTGGCACGCGGTGGATGCCGTATTGCTTGCACAAGTAGCGCGTGATCATTACACCTTATGACTAGTACATAAGGCCCAGTATAGATTACAGCGCAATGGTTACTAGATAGACCAGCTGTGGTAAGTACGTATTGCTGCCTTAAGCTTTACGCATAAGGTGCAATATCGATTACATGGCCTTTGCAACCAACTGACTCCTAGAAAGACAGCGTGTTGCACGAGCGCAGCCCCAAATTATGAAATTAATTGTTTTAACGCACTAACTAAACGCAAACATAGATGTTGATTTTTTTTCTTTGCTGTTCAAACACATGCACCTACTTTACTCTCAGCAATCTTCTCAGGTCGTCCGTCCATCAGGCACTGAAGTTTATTGGCATCTTTTGATTTCAGGCTAGAACACTTATCAAAGTTCTGTGTCTGATTGCTGGAAACATTTCCAGGTCATCCGTCCATCGGGTAACAAAGTTTTTTAATGTACACACAGGCAGGCAGCTTTCAAATCACTGAAGTTGCAACTAATACCCGAAAAAAAAAATTTTTTTTTCGGTCGTCAGTCCATCAAGCACTTACCAGTGAAGAAGAAGTTGATGTTATTCGGCACCTTCCCGCTGTTGTTATACGTGTGCTGGTCGCCTATTGGCACGCGGTGGATGCCGTATTGCTTGCATAAGTAACGCGTTATAGCGGCGGGCGCGGATAGCGTGTCCACAAGGTATGTGTAGAAGCCGAGGTAGCTGGAATGGAAGAAAGAAAGAAAGATACATTTATTACAATGGACATCACACAAATACAGGCAATTACATAGACATGACAGTGGCACATAATAATAAAAGAAGAAAAAATAAAAACAAGAGTAAACTGAGCAGTGCCACCCATTCACCAACCAGATGCCCACTGCAACGGGACCCCACTCAGCATATGCCGTGGCCCACGGTGACGAAGGCCACGGCGCTGATTTTCGAATGGAATTATTTACTTAGGGCACCAATCTAATCTAAATCTAAATATACAGGGTGTTAGGTAAATGGGTATATGAGCCGACACTAGCCCATGTTAACATGGCATATAAATAGTATGGTGAAGTCAGAATTTTGATATCATCATTTTACTTTTTTAAATTTTCATACAAAATAAATTTTATAAAGTCAAAGTCAAAGTCAAAATTTCTTTATTTGTTTGGACTAATAAATAGTTCTTACAAATCGTCATTTTGCTCTTAAGCTATAAAACCCGATTTGTATGAAAATTAAAATAATTACAATGAAGATATCAATTTTCTGACTTCGCCATACCATTTATATGACCATGTTAACATGGACTACAGTCGGCTCATATACCCATTTACCTAACACCCTGTATAACTCAAAGGTGACTGACTGACTGACTGACATAGTGATCTATGAACGCACAGCCCAAACCACTGGACGGATCGGGCTGAAATTTGGCATGCAGGTAGATATTATGACGTAGGCATCCGCTAAGAAAGGATTTTACGAAACTCCACCCCTAAGAGGGGGTAAAACGGGATCCACGCGTACGAAGTCGCGGGCGGCCGCTAGTTTTGTAATAAATTGTAGTGTTTATTTAATAAAAGTATTTTCATGACTGGTAATGCCTTTTTTTATTATGAAGTACCGTTCGTTCCAGGTCGTAAGGTGTAGATGCTGTACAGGGTGACTTTGCAATCATCAGTTTTTTTTTTTATAATACGCTCTGTAGAACACAGCTTTATCTTAATTATTTTTAATCGTGGTAGTTTTCGCAAAAAAATAATATTTGCTAATCGCTTATTGGCACGCAGTGGATGCCGTACTGCTTGCATAAGTAACGCGTTATAGCCGCGGGCGCGGATAGCGTGTCCACTAGTATGTGTAGAAGCCGAGGTAGATGGAACGGAATTACATATTTATAACAGAAAGAAACAAACATTTATTACGATTAACATCACTTAGTTAAACACAGAAGGTATACTAAATAAAAAAAACATAACCCTCCTTCTAGCGCAGTCGGGTAAAAAGACAGAAATCTATACTAATATTATAAATGCGAAAGTAACTCTGTCTGTCTGTCTGTCTCTCTTTCACGCCAAAACCACTGAACCGATTTTGATGAAATTTGGCATAGAGATAGTTTGAGTCCCGGGAAAGGACATAGTATTTTTTTTCTGCTCAACCCAAGTTGTTTCTGCTGAACAAATTTCTTTTCTGCTCAACCCAAAGGTAAACTGGTCGAGAATGCTTTAGTGCATTAAGTTCGCCTTATGTACAAATTTATTTTGGCATAAAAACAAACAGAGAACGGGCAGCAGCGCTCTCTGAAAAACATCAATCTTTTAAACTGCGATCTCCAACCCGCCTGCCAAGCGTGGGGATTATGGCAAAACCCTCCACTACAGTGGAGGAGGCTCATAGTCCAGCAGTGGACTGTAAAGGGCTGTTAATGATGATGATGATGATGATGACGACGTACCCTTTTCTTGTTTAGGCAGTGTCAAATTAATTTGTATAAATTATGTAATACAGTTATACTAAATCTACCTAGCATAGGCATCAAACTCACACAAGAATGAACATCAAACGTATCTTATACATTCACTATGTAACTCTGTTCGATTTTTGTGTGAGTAAAATAAAGATTTAATTATTATCATTAACTAGCGGCCGCCCGCGACTTCGTACGCGTGGATCCCGTTTTACCCCCTTAGGAGATGAATTTTGCAAAACCCAAACATTAACCAAAAATTGGTGGAGCGCGTCTTCGTGGATGAAACGATCTATATACAGGGTGTTAGGTAAATGGGTATATGAGCCGATACTAGCCCATGTTAATATACGCATATAAATGGTATGGTGAAGTCAGAAATTTGATATCATCATTTTAATTTTTTAAACGTTCATACAAAATAAAAGGAGAATGCCCAAAAGTGGTATCGCTCGAAATCTAATTGTACCACACCGTAAATTCCTTTCTTCATTTGTAATGATTTGCGAAAGTAGTAATCCCACTAAAAACATTCTGTAAAAAACTAGCCAAGTCTCGATGGAGCTGCTTGTTTATCTCTAAAAAGTAATGAAATCTAGACAAAGTCGTGCCAAGTCTATGGTTCCTTACTGCGATTTCTTTATTATTATAATTAATGTTGTGTGACTTGGCCGTTGAAGGGTACAAAACCAGGTGCTCCATGATACCATTGCACCAATCTGTCGCCAGAACCGCTACCCATTGACGATGGAAAATTGCCACTTGGAAAACGTTGATTCAACAATAACCATTCAATTGTAGGTTTAATAAAGCTGCGTATTTCAATAATACTTATGTATGATTATCTTAATAAAGATTGTTCAACGGCCAAGTCACACAACATTAACTATAATAATAAAGAAATCGCAGTAAGGAACCATAGACTTGGCACGACTTTGTCTAGATTTCATTACTTTTTAGAGATAAACAAGCAGCTCCATCGAGACTTGGCTAGTTTTTTACAGAATGTTTTTAGTGGGATTTCACTTCTTTTTGTAGAAAGTGGCAAAATTATTTAACGTCGTCGTTTTATCGATATTTTTTTACGATATTAAACACAAATAAACTCAACGACCTTTAAAATGGACAACGAATCAGAATTGTTTTAATAACATAACCTTAGCGAACCTTACAATATAATAAACGAAATCAACGAACTGCAAATTTACACAACATCAACTTAATCGACGGGGGGCTCTAGAAAGGAAAAAATCTGGACACCGCTTGGACGCCGCTAGCGCCATCTAGCGGTGAGCGATACAGGCGAACACCACGGTGCCGGAGTAGTATTGATTATGAATGTGGTGTTACTCCAGATCTTCGATTTTCTTAGTTTTTATAGTTTTCCCTTTATGTGGCCATTAAACCCTAACTCTGTACCAAATTTCAGCTCTCTGAGTTGATGGGAAGTACTAGTTCTATTTTGATGATCATCAGTGAGTGAGTGAGTGAGTGAGTGTCGTAAATGCGAAACTTTGCTTTCGCATAACTTCGGAACTAAATGACCTACAGACTTGAAATTTTGGATTTTAAGTATGTGATTATAGCTTACTAGATGACGAAAATTTCTGCGTTCTGGTCTTATCCAGAGGTTCTCAAATAGGGGCCTGAAAATGCGGCGAAATGGTTCCAGTAAAGGATGGTACGGCAGTGTTTGCTTCGCGCTCGACTTGGCGGGGGCACTACCGTGCCCCCAGATAAATTGTAAAACCTCCGGAATAAAATCCGATTTTAATAAAAAGTATTGTAACAATGAGCTGCAATCAGCAACACCTATCACCGAGCAACGACACTACGTAGTTCGCACGGTTGTCAATAGATGGCGCTGATCGTAGTTAGCTCGCGGTATCATTTGATTTTTTCCTGTCCTTAAGTAGTCAGGGCTAACCACAAATCCCTTTCCCTTGCAAAATGGTATAAATAACATTGGTATGCACGCAAGATTATTTTGTGTTTATATCTGATCCTTATCAAATAACGTTAGCTTTGGCGTAGCTAGGGTTTTTTTAGGCAGGGTAACTATCCACAAATATAAAACAAGTATTCTAAGGTTAAACCTGTAGCTATGCCAATAGACACCATTCATTTCACTTAAACCAAAATTACGTCAAAGTCCGGAGTTTTATAAAAAAAAAAAATAACTGTGCCAAATAGTCCTGTATGCATACTATAAATTAAGCTTTATTCGATTAATGTACAATGAATTTGATAGCGATACCAACTCCCATAGTCACTTGGGCATTCTCCTTTATAAAATCAGATTTGTATGAAAATTAAAATAATTTAAATGATGATATCAATTTTCTGACATCACCATACCATTTATATGTATATGTTAACATGGGCTAGTGTCGGCTCATATACCCATTTACCTAACACCCTGTAGAACCCCAGGGGGTCGCGACCCACAGGTTGAAAAACACTGATTTAGGGCATCAATGTCATCTAAAATCGGTTTCGTTTGACAGATCGTGGTTGTTGCTCAATACCTTCGGAATACCGAAGGAATATTAACTTTATGGTCCTACCAGTATTACCACAGAATAACAATAACTACTACGTACAGAAGGTTTTATTAAGGTATTTAAAAAAATGTATGCTCAATGTCGTTAACAATATGGTATAATTTAGCTTGTCTCAAGAGTTGAACACCATTTTCTTGACTAACGTCAGTGCGCCGAAGCCATAGGGCTGACTTCGGTAAAATGATGTGACGTGAGGTGCCAAACTGCGGAAAATGGCGGAGGAAATACATGAATAAGCATGAATTATATTTTGTGTTTCTATGTATTACTAGCTTTTGTCTGTCACAGAAAAACAATATCGCGCGCGTATTTACTCACCGTTCAGACCTACCCTGGACTACGACAAACATTTTAAAACCAAAATCAGCTCAATCGGCCCAGCCGTTCTCGAGTTATAAGCAGACTAACGAACATCAATTCATTTTTATTTATATAGAAGACTAGCTGACCCGGCGAACTTTGTTCCACCTTAATGGCAATAAATAAGCAGATTTTTTTTTTAATTTCGAACGGGATAAAAGGTATCCTATGTCCTTCTCCTGGCTCTAAACTACCTCCCTGACAATTTTCAGCTAAATCATTTCAGCCGTTCTTGAGTTATAAGTGGAGTAACTAACACGACTTTCTTTTATATAATAGATATAGATTATTCAGGCAGTTAAAGGATCTTATAAAGTGTCTCACCTCAGCTGCTGTATATCATTGCTCTGCATCTGTACCCGTGAGTTCGGACTGCACACAGCATTGACCTTCTTCAGGCCTAACCCTCTGACTTTCTGCATGAACAGGTTCATATCCTGAGTGGACTCGAAGGTGAAAGCCACCAGGTCTCGAGCTGGCACGGTAGACTCGAGGTAGCGAGCGAACTTTGGGTCGGTGAAGTTTATCTGAAATGAAACACGGTTATTTTAAAGAATATTAGTAATTTGTGTTCACAATAATAGTCTACTTATGCCCGTTTTCACCATCAATCCCTAATTTTAAGTGACCCCTATGAAAAAAATTCCTGTTGTGTTATCATAACTCTCATTAGGGCATTAGACTCTCGTAGTAAGTTTCCTCAGAACTCGATTTCGTCATTCGAGCGTAGTATAGAAAGAAGAAAAATATTTATTTGACAGCTAAAAGTAACCTTTAAAATTAAATAAATTATTTAAAAAAATATGCATTTTTATAGGTTATCAAAATTTTTGTGGTTGTAAGAGTCGCCTCTCGATTACAAAAATATTCTCATTTTTTTGTGCAATTCAAACTTTTATAAGTATTAGACATGACTAAAATCACATAATATAAATTCGCTCAGTACATTCACTCATTCATTCAAGTCCAATCACTCACTCGCTAGTTCACTTTATTACGATTCGAGTAGCAAACGGTCAGTCGCTATTCAACCTCCACAGTGATCGGACGTGTCGAGGAAAAGTTTCGTGCGAATGAAGTGTGTGAGTGAAGTGCTTTGTGGTCGATAAGGCGAGAATACTGCTCGAGAATTCTAAGGTTAGTACTTTTTTTATACTATTTAAAATTGAAATAGGGACTATCAGTTTTTTTTTTAAATATATTATTATTAGTAATTTATATTGCATAAAAAAAGATTAGAATAGGACCACCCTCACTCTTCTCGTGGATGCCGTAAGAGGCTATGCGTCAAATTTAATAGCGAACATAAGGTCTTCCCAACCGGTTTTGGCAGGGAGGGTAGTGTAGGCAAATTCTTTATTTGCTTTTGGAAATTTAGAGAGGGTCATCCTGTAGTGAAGACTAAATTACTTGATGATAATTGAGAATGTTACTAGGTATGCAAAATCACTTGAAACCTTTGTTACAGCTTTTACATATACAAATACATTTGTTTTTATTTCATTCAAAAATACCCAGTAGTTATGATTATATAGGCATTCAAAGTTCGCTTAAATATCGAGTGCCGCCGACGGTCACGTGACCCCGCGTGACGTACATTCACAGTGTCCGCTCACTAGAAAACGTATATAAACATACTTAAATACATTTTTTTTTGTAAATACATACATATTATACATATTAACACCCAGACCCATCACTGAAATTAAAATTGAACCAAACCCAAACTTGATGCGATTGTGTCGTTTTATTGCGAATTACCTTCCAGCTCCATCATCAGACCCTGATTACTATATAGAATTGAAGTACTCGTCAATACAAAACGAACGAGCCCAAACTCGATGGAGTTAGTCATTTTATTATGGAGTTCCTATAGCCACCTTCCAGCTCCATCATCAGATCAGCTCCATGTCATCATAATATTGCATGGCCATCCAAATTACATGTGTATGCAAAATCGCAGCTTTATCGGTGGTCCGGAAGTGGGTCTTAATTCAGCTTGCAAGATTCCACCCATACAAATTTGAGCCAGTCACTGTATTATGACGTCACGCGCATTAAATGGCGGGCCGGCCGCCACCCGCACCTTTAAAATTCAATATCTTGGAAACTAATTGACGTATCGAAATAATTCTTTCACATGTATTTTTTATTTTTAACAGAGAATACAGAAAGCTAAAAAACAAAATTAGTGAACATTCTTCATTATGATGAGTAAATAAGACCCCCAACTTAGCTAAGTCTTATTTTAGGAGTGGGACTAGGTTCACGACAATAGTCCAGCAGCCGAAGGGATCAAATTAGCCACCCTCGAAACGGCAGTCCACCAAAAGTTTTGAGAATTTTTGGGACACTTATGTCACCCTTACCACTTACCTTCAATATCATGGGGTAGGGTCTCTCAAAAATTAGAGCGTGTAGGCTAAATCCATCTAGCAGGCCGCTACCAACCTGGCAATATGGAAATCATTGGGGGAGGCCTATGTTCAACAGTGAACGACCTATGGCTGTGTGGGATATAATGCTCAACCACAATAAGGAAGCTAGATGTTAGTGCTTCCTTACGAGCGGGTGTTATGCTCGGGGACCAAGGTCCAATTTACACCATCTTGGTTTGTCTATATGTACTTGGCAGGGTAGAAAACTCCGTCACCGCGATGCAGGTTTGTATGGGCGGCGGAGTGTGCCATAGTGCAGTCGTAACAGCGCCATCTGTTGGTACACGTTTGTAGTGGCGTATCGTAGATGTCGCCACAGCTGAAATAATGATGATAATATCACAACTTACCTCCAGTATCATGGGTTCATATACAGGTTCCTGAAACATGTTTCGGTTCTCTCGCAACCAAGCTACGGCGTTGTAAGCGTCTTCACTGTAGTTGCGTAGCACCTCTAGACGTTTCACGTCCACGTCTTCGAGGTTACGTATCCTGTGGATAACACATTGGTCTTGTTGTAACATTCTATACTTACGAGCAAAAGTATGGAATCATCCCCTTGTATTTTGTACCGAGCGAACTTAAGAACTGAATGACTATCTATAGTATGTATCTGTGGTGTCAATTTAAAGTTTATAATATTACCTTTAAAATGGTACCATTTTTATTTGCCTATTATTAGTCATTTAGTTTTTGTGATCGCTCGAAACAAATAGGGTGATTCCATATTTTTGCTTGTTGTAATATTCTATTGCAGCTTGTATTGCACAAATTACAAAAAAAAACTGTTAAACCCTCCAGTTAAACTAATATTCTTGTGTTATTGGATTCACCGCAATAGTCAATCAAACAACGGGAAACTAACGACCGTCAGTCAAAGTCAAAGTCAAAATTTCTTTATTTGTTTAGACTAATAAATAGTTCTTACAAATCTTCATTTTGCTCTTAAGGAGCCTCTACATGTCTCATAATCTTTTTACCCTACCAGCGCTTCGAGACCAACATTTGGCAAGTGCTGAGAAGAAGCGCCGCAACAAACTCAGTCACCACTGTCTGCCGGTTAATATAAATAAATAGAAATAGCAGTAGTAGGTACATTCGATTCAGGAGCAGTTCACTGAATTTACCATGCATTCTTGTATAGTATATAATGGGTATACAAAATTGCGTGGTATATTAAACAAGGTAGTGACGTGCTAATATCTAGACTTACAGATTACATACTTAAATACTAGTAGAAATGACTCGCATATATAAATTGGAATAACTTGGATTGACCAGTCCCCGAAAGCAGCGCCTGTTCACAGACATGACGAGTGAACCAGCCATCGCTTCACTCGACCATATTAGAGGGAATGTAACGACCCGCCTCACTAAGCCACCACCCCAGAGACATTTTAGTGAGAATGACAATACCAAGTTATCTCTTAGAGAAAAAAAACTAATAATAAAGCTAAGCAACAGTCCAGATTGAGAAGCATGACACTATAACATTTTAGAAAATTAGATTAGTTTATACATTACTTTTCATAGCCTACACTAACGCTTGGGCTCCATGGATTCTTTTTTTTTCCACTTGTCTTTGGCTCCATTGTATATACCTATTAGACCACATACGTTAGATTGGGAAAACTAAAATTATGCACTATCTTTTTTTTTCGTCCACTTTTAATCTAACCATAAAAATAATTAATAAATATTAAAACATTTTTTAGAATCCCGTCAAATGACCCCAAGCTACCCATCCTTATCGCTCGCGCGTAATTATATTGATGTCGCGACTGTCTGACGGGCGCCCGCAGTGAGTGTGCGACCGCGACAGCAACATAATTACGCGCGAGCGACAAGGATGGGCAGCTTGGGGTCATTGGACGGGATTCTACGTGCTCACGGACCAGGCTTTACTTTTAAAGGGATTACCTGTTTTGATACAGTCGTATCTGAGGAATGACGTTGTTCTCCAGATCGTACTGGATCTCCAGTTTCTTTTTCTTCAAACCCTCCAACGCTGTGTTGGTCTTTTGTATCGGCTTGTGTAACTCAGCTAACTCCATTTTGACTTGATTTTCTGCGATAAACCAAATTAAATTATAAAACATTTATTTTGTTTTCAACATAACGGACAATGTTAACTTAGGGCGGAGGGGCAAAAGTTAAAATAAAATGTTATTCACTTAGGAATATTCAATACTAGCTGTGCCCGCGACTTCGTACGCGTGAAAACCCGTTTTCGCAACATTTTTCATTTTTGCTCTGCACCTATTACTCGTAGCGTGATGGTATATAGCCTATAGCCTTCCTCGATAAATGGGCTATCTAACACTGAAAGAATTTTTCAAATCGGACCGGTAGTTCCTGAGATTAGCGCGTTTAAGTAAAAAAACAAACAAACAAACTCTTCAGCTTTATAATATTAGTATAGATTGGACCGTTTTTTACCTGAAACAAACGATTTGCCTCATGTGCAAATCGAACCCAAGACTTTGGTTTAAAAATATATTCAAGATGTGCAAAAAGAAAAAAAAATCTTACTTAAAAGGTTCCCCAAATCGGATAGGTACATAAGTCAATAATTAATTATATTAAGATTAATAAATAATTTCACTTACCGTCCCCAACTTTTTCCACCAGCTTCGTCTTATCAGTCACCAGCTTCTCCAGCTTGGCCTTAGCCTCGACCAGTTCCCGTTCCCTATTCCTGAACCGCTCCAGCTTCTCCTGGTAGGTCGACTGAATGTCCTTGATAGTGTACTCGTGGGTACGGACCGCAGCTAACGTCTCTTTCACGCGGTCTTTTAGAGTGTGGATTTCACGGTTCTGTGAAGGACAAGTTTCACCATTAATCCTTAATTTTTAAGTGACTCTAGAGGATCAAACACTCCTTCTCCTCATGGTAACACATAACAGAAATGATATCATAGTCACTTAAAAATTAGGGATTGATGATGAAAACGGGTATCAGTGTTTTGTATTACATGGGAATTTTCAGAATAACTTAGGTGGAAAACTCAGAATACGGAACAAACCAGAAACCGTCAACGGGCGTAAATGTGTATTCATATAAAGTACTCCAAAACGCACTACTTTGACTTTAGAGCAATTAGTCAATGGCCGGCGCGCGCATTGTTTACATATCCGTCAGATTGACACTTTAAAATTAAATTATGCCGTCTTGTGCCGTTCCAACATGTAGGAATGCTACTGGAATTACGAAGAAAGTGCATGGGAACATGTTTTATCCGTAAGTAGCACATTTCCAATTCATTTTAATTAAATAATAATTTTCAAAAAAAATCACGGTTGTATTTTGTAAGTGTTGCCACAAGTCTACGGAATATTTTACCCTACTTTTTTATATTGAATTACATTTGTCTATAAAAAATTCACGCGTTAATTTTGTTAGCGTTACCACAGAATAATGGAATATTTTCCCCATCCTTTTTGTTTTAATTAGTTTTTAGTGTATTTTCATCCATGACAATATGACAACCTGATTAATTAAATTATAAGTGCCACTTGTGGTCTAAACTGAATAAATATTTTTGATTTTGATTTGATTTTAATATTTGAATTAATTTATAATATTACTCCCTAAATAATGAGGAGATAATAAATTACTATCGTGAATTTCATACTTTCCCATTTATTCAAAAGTAAGGCATTGACAGACAGACAGACAGACAGACAGACAGACAGACAGACAGACAGACAGACAGACAGACAGACAGACAGACAGAGTTACTTTCGCATTTATAATATTAGTTGGGATTTATTTATTTATTATTCATTATTGAGCAATTACATATTTGATCCAAATAGCGTCCTAAATCCTTTTTAGGTTTCTCTAGACACTATTGTTCTCTATACAAATAAAAACAAACGTTTTAGTTTAAGCATTCACAACACTTTCAGATATACATAGTAACACCCAGACCCGTTACAGAAATTAAAATTCAACATTTCAATTTCTGCCCAGCCGGGAATCGAACCCAGGACCTCTCGGCATAGTAGTCCATTCTGAACCACAACACCAAACGGCCAACAATTATTTATAAATCCAGAATAATGGCTACAATAGAACAAATTAAAATATGTGTACACAAACCTTTCATTCAGCCTAACTTGTTCTTGCAACAGCTGAGCGTTGTTTTGCAGCTTCGTAGACAGCCCCCGCTGTTTGTTCCTGCACTGTATCAGCTCGTCCAACTGGGACACGCTCTCCTGACCTCCCACAGCGGAGAGCGTGCTGCGTAACAACTGCTGCGGGTCCATTTTGGAGAAGTCCTGGACGCGATCTTGAGGCAAGAGTTGGCAGAGGTTGTCAACCTGAAATTGATGGCAGTTAGTCAAACTTTGTTCTTTTTCATCCAAGTCTTACTGCTTGACAATGTTCTTAAGCTTATGTTTACACAAACAGTAAATTTTCTTGGAATTAATAACTTGCCACTGTGGCATGTATGTGGCAATGCCCCTTAAGTATGTAAGGTTTATTCATTCATATGAGGTAATTTTTGTCAAAAGTTTATACAGAGAATATTAAGTCTATTTGAGTTACTCAGACTCAGTACAAAACAACAATGATTTTGATCGATAGTTATAAAACATACCTGTATATTTAAAGTAGCGATCAACTCTTGAACCTGCTTTTCCCGCACCGTCTTATGGTCAATGGACCACGTAGACACATCTTTCAAGTTAAAGTGCCTAGTGATGATGACATTACGCTTTCCCTGCTCTTGATACAGTTCAATTTCAATCGTAGACTGCTCACAACCACTTCGCACATATTCAGATATCTACGAAGAAAAGAGAAAAGATCTACGTAGAAAAAAAAACTTGAATATACATAACATGGAGAATGTTTGTTAAAAACCGTACAAAAGAAGAGAACCGTACCTTCTTAGCCCTCCCAATAACGCTGGTCTTACCACAGAGCCCCAAAATTATAGCACAAACGAAAGTAGATTTTCCAGTCCCGTTTGGCCCGATGATCAAATTCAAGGACGTGCCCGGGAACAACTCGACTTGTTTATACGTTCTACAAAAAAAATACACAAAATTATAAACAAACTTGATGAAACTTGTCTGTCGTTTGAAAGGCGCGCAATTTCACACAACTTACACGAAGTTTTCTAGCGCTATTCGATAGATACAGCCAGGCCTAATGCCTTCAATGTTCACTATTTTCGACATTTTCACTTTTAAATGGGAGAGACAACCATATTTAAAAGATTAAATGGAAAAAACACCACACAACACAAAACGAAATTCTCAACATTTTTCGAGCTAGCTTTTTTTTTGCCAAATTTGACAAAGTGACATTTGACAGTTATAGTGCTGCACCACTAGTTTTGAAGTTTTGTAATAATCAGTCAACTCACAGGACGGAGCTAGAAAGAAACCAAAGAGCATAAAAGAGTAAAAGAAACACAAATGAGACAGGGAAAAATGCATTTACGTAGGGTAAACTGCCAGTCATTGGACACTTAAGAAAGTTATTGAACAGTTATTTACTGAATTAAAAATAGCATTTCTCTTTCAACAACTGAGAGATTTCGACTGATGGAGATAAAAGGGTGTTTTTTTGAAGGAATATTCATTGTATATGAAGGAATATTCATTTTAAAAAAATTCAAGGGTTGTTTTGTCCAATGACTGGCAGCGTCCAATGACTGTCGGTTTGCCCTAGTATACACGCAAATTCTTTGATTAATGAATAAAAAGTTTCACAAAATATTTTCAAACCAATTGTATTATTTTAGAACCTATTTTATCTTATTAGTGATTGAACGGTTAATTTTTATTTATTTAATTTTCGCTTCGGTCTTTAGGCTAGGTTGATAGATTATAAGGGCTAAACTTTTAAGTTGAAAAAATAATGTTCTGCTTAACCTTTCGTGCACCAGGTGACTAAAAGTTACGACCCGCACCAGTGGGTCTAGACAAAGTGCAAATTATAATCGCAAACCAGTCGAAAAGTGGTCGAAAAGCCCCTTTTTTGTATGGAGTTTTGACGGATTCGATTTTCGATTCGATCAAAAAGTGCGTTTTGTCTAGGCACGCAGGTAGAGTATGTTGTACTTACCTCAATATACAAAGTTATAAAACTATAGTTGTAATTTTTTAAGGTGGAATTTAATATTTGATATTTATTATCTACATTTAATAATTAGGATTAAGCAGAACTCTGAGCTGAAAGTATGTATTATTACATTTTTAGCATAAAAAAACAAAAAGACAATTTCTGTAGTTTTCATAACTGGGTAATCATTAAAATTTTCTTATGAATAATTTTTCATTGGTACCATCAATTATTATTATTATGACAACCATTTTTAATTTAAGAAGTACAAAAGATTTATTAATTATAGCCTGACCAGGAACATAAAAACCCTCGCCATGTTGCGGAAAACTAATGGTACTAATTTCTTTTAATGGCAACAGTAACTGAAAACTTCATTGACATGTCACCTTGCATGTCAGTCTATTGTTGTCAAAGTGTAAACAAACTTTAATTTAAATGTGCGCAATTGATTTCGTGAATTAAATTGCTAAAATATTTTTATAGTCGTGAAAGAAAAGTGGTTCACAATGTGTTAATGTATTTGTCGAAGAGAAATACTAAGGGTTCGGACAATATTTTCATTGAATAATGTTTCCGACAAAGGTTGTCAAATTGACTGACATGTTTATCGTATAGTACAGTCCACTATGAAAATTAGCTGTAGTCTGTTTCAACTACCTATTTTAAAGTTTTTTGTCACTTTCTAAGTTTTGAATTTTATGGAATTGGGAAAGAAGTACCGAGTTTGAAGCGTTCATGAGCAGACATTGCAGTTGAATATTCAAGTTCTGAATTTGATTATTGATGAATAATAAAATAAATCCTACTAGCTCGATTGATGGTTTCATTTAATTTATTTAAACCAGGTTACCTTTAATAATATTTTTCGTTCATTTATGAAAATATCAAATTAGCCCGTAATCCTGAATCCTGATACATAAATTAATTTAACACATGTACGACTGTACTCAGTGTTGCACTATCAAATGCAATTGAAGCGCCTCTATGCCAGGGTTTTTATGTTCCTGGTCAGGCTATACAGTAGAATTTAAACTGCAAGAGTAAAATTTTATATCATCGGCATTCAAATTACCACAGTTCAGACGAAAGAAAATGAATGTGCTCAACGCATAAAAAGAGAGATTCCGTGAAAATAACGAAAAATATTATTCAAAGGGAATTTCATTCAATTTAAAACGGTAAAAATATATAAATCACACCAAAAATGTGATTTTTTTTCTGTTTTTATCAACGTGCCGCACCAGTGCCCCGATTGCGCTATTTTTTAACGTCTCCAACTCATTGATGGCGCTTCTCCTCCGGTTGTGGACTGTTTTTCATTCCAGCTGAGCTGCAAATTCGGTATCGCGGTTAAGTTCACGCGCAAACCGCAAACAAAGACAAAACAACGTATTTAATCACTTTCCATTAAGTCAAAATAAAAAAAATCTAATCAAAATCACCGATTGCGCTAAATATTTTCAACTATAGGTGTGCCAGAATCTCATGGCAAATGGGGAAAATAAACTTTGTTGAGTGCAATACTGGGGAAATTGGATTAAACGATCTTGATACTGTTTAATTTTTTATTTATGACTAGTATTAATGAACATGAAGTACGAATATACATTTTAGGTATGTGTATGAAGAATGTTGTTAGACATCGAGTTTTTAACATAGTCTTGAAAAATAAGTAAACCGTATATTACTGTAAATAATTTTACTGTGTATCATATTAATTTATAACTTATCACTTCATTCAGAACCTTAAAACGATTCTAAGAACTCCACTTGCATTTCTTGTTCTTCAATAGATGATCAAGTTGAAGAGGTATTTATTTATACACGGTGGAATTTTGTAATGCCACATGGAGGGAAAGTACTCTTAATACTGTAGATAGAAAATTTTACTGAAAGAGAACATTTCTTTATTTTTGAAAAAAAAAGAGAACTGCATTCAAAGATTTTCGAATTTTTTTCGAAAATTCACTACTATACCATACAATTTTCTTTTCAAAAATAAAGGAGTGTTTTCTTTGAGAATTTTTTTCTATCTACAATATTAAGAGTAGGTACTTTCCCTTCAGGTAGCATTACAAAATTCCACCCTGTATAATATAAATCGCTATTTCAGCATTTCAATTACTCAAACTTGCTTGATGAAATCTTTTTCAATTTTCTTTACATGGTTATAACTTTTTCACTATTCCTCTGCACCAATGTGTGAAATACACCTGAAAACCCCGATAAAGCAGCTATAAGGTAAGAATAATATAAAAATAAACATAACCCTCTTCTGACGCAGTTAGGTAATAAACTAAAAGTATCAAAACATTTTACTCCAACTTACTGTCAACTCAACGACGCGCATTAAAATCAAAGATTGACTTTGAATTATGCCTTATTTTACGATACACATTGAAAACAATATGATTTGCTTGAGCTTTTTCGACTTTTTCACAAAAATAACAAATAGGCATGAAGAGATTACAAAATTTCTGCAGCGGCTGACAAATCTTTTGATTTACTTTGACAGGTGACAATAAAGCCATAGACAATGGCCATATGAAAAACACACTTTTCCAATATTTTTGTTTGCCATGAGATTCTGGTACACCTATACTATGCAACTAGAGTACGAATATCACAAATAAATTCGTATCGCGGTGTCGCTTTGACATAAAACAAAACGCAACTGCTTCTTTGCGTAAAAGCTGAAAGAAAGCAACTTTTTCTCAAACGCCTTCATGAATATTTGCTGTGTTTTACTGAAATAATAAGGTTTTCGGACTTTTAATGGAAAGTGATTAAATCCGTTGTTTTGTCTTTGTTTACAGTTTGCGCGTGAACTTTACCGCGATACCGAATTTGCACCTCAGCTGGAATGAAAAACAGAGCGCAATCTGGAGAAGAAGTGCTAATGAATTGGAGACGTTAAAAAATAGTGCAATCGGGGCACTGGTGCGGCGCGTTGATAAAAACAGAAAAAAAAATATTTTACATTTTTGGTGTGATTCTGATCCTTTCGAACCTTTTCCTTTCCTGTGAATGCACAACACTATTATGATTTTTAAATAATAAGTTGCAGCGTGGAGTCCTACTATTTAGCCAAACTTTTTTTTTTAGTTTTTTCATGTTGCCAGTTTATTGAAAACAACTTAATAGTAGAAAAAAGTTTACGCTGTAACGCAGATAGCGTTACAGCATAAACCTTTGAAAAGAGGCTAATATTGTAATTTTATGACTTTCCAACAACAATGGATGTTCTTCTTGGAGATTAAAAACTGCGCCCATTCCAAACCAAGCAAAGCTTGTATTAAATCAGACATTGATCTAGGCTCTAGGTTGATATTGTGTAAAAAAATACATTACATGTGTAAGTACTTACAAACGAAGAGTTTTGAAACATGTAAACTGGAAATAAGATAATAATTAATAATTTATTAAATAAGACAATAATAATTTAATTGCCTTATGTTCAAGTCGTATTTTCCTGCACATTTATTTATGTACAATGGTTTTATTAATCTAAGTGTACAATTAAATGCTGTTGAAACATTGTTAAACAAATAAAACAAAATAAATAAATAAATAAAACTATTATAATTATTATTTATAACAAATAAACAATTTTCTATGAAAAGGAGTTAAGAATAAGAAGCTAAACAAAGAAAAATGAAACGAACCCTATACCTGAACCTTTAATCTTGAATACATTTAAAAATATCTGTGGGTCAAAATAAGTGGCACTATTAGATCGAATCGAAAATCGAGTCCGTTGAAACTCCATACAAAAAAGGCTTTTCGTCCATCTTTTCTTTCAACATAAAAATTACTGACACATTTGGCAGGTTCCGAGGTTCTTTGATGAATAATCGTAGAAAGAAGCGATTTTAGTAGAAAGGTTATTAAAACCTGGTAACCCTGACACAAAATTGACGAATCACAGAGCGCAACAAACAAAACGATTCCGGCTGATGTGCTTGTCTGTCGCTCCTTCGTAGAGTTGCGCTTGGAAATTATTCTATCGTATGTTTGTGTATGAAAATGAGTGAAAAATAAGTTTTCTTGAATGAATGAGTGTTCTAATAGCTGCCGAAATTAATATTGGACAAATTCCAGTTGACTATTTAGTGAAATTCAGTGTTAATCAACCGTTCATCGGGATTACATGGAGGGTATTCATGTTTATAAATATTGATTTGTTGCATCGTGTTTTCTAACGTTTCTATTGTGCTGCTAAACGTGTAGTGAAATGTAGGTAACCGATAAAAGTGGTGGAATATTGTGGTAGTTCCTAAAAATGGATCAACAATATTTAGTTTGCAATGGCGCGCCCGCGTTTGTGATTGCGTGTAGTGTTTGAGTTTTGTTCCTTGTGTTTTTGTGTTTATCAGACAATGGAGGGAACTACTGAGAAGGATTGCTCCCCATTATGGAGCCTGTACCAGCAGATCGTGTCGGATATGAAGGTAGGTCACAGCAATTTCTTTTTCACGACGTATGGCGGAACCGATAACGTTCTACTTTTCTTGAGCATTGTCCCGGTAAATCGGTCGTATCGAACGAATTATGTGTTCGAAGTGCTTTAGTGATTTCTTAAATCACTTTTTGCAATATCAACCGGTGTTTGCCAGCCAATTAGAGTTTATTAGACCTAAAACATACACAAGCCATTGTATGTTCTAATTAATCAGTTTTTATTAACAGATTAAATCATGAGACAGTTGATCCTATTTTGTACAATTAATCACTACTAAAATGTGCACAAAAACATGTTTGTCCTCATTGTCCTCATAATTTTCCTGTAATTATTATAGGTACTTGTCTTATAAGAAGAAAACCTTTTAAATAGGCATTTAACTATTGCTGGCATTGCACTCTTCTTACCCTATGTTTTACACATTTTAATTTAATGTCTAAAACATAAAGCATTAAAATAGCTAAACTCAGGTTATTGTCAATCTTCTGCAATCTATATATAAAAATGAAACCCGTTTCGCGTTGTCACGGCATCACGTGTGAACGGCTGAACCGATTTCGATAATTCTTTTTTTTAAATGTTTGTGGAAGTCCAAGGATGGTTCTTACGGAAAAAAATATTAAGAAAATCTCTACGCTAAGGCGGTACGAAGTTCGCCGGGTCAGCTAGTTTTGAATAAATAACAATTGTAGGTATTAAATAATCTATAATTGTATTATGGAACATTAAAATTATCAAATCAAAGGAGATAGTCTAATAAGAATTTCAGGTGATCATGACTGTTGAAGTGTTGTTGACTCTAATTTAACTATTACATATTTGAACATGAAAATAAACTTGATAATGATGCAGTGAAAGGACGAAAATAATAAGTTTTAATTAAGTAACAAAAAATTTTAGTATTTGGTCTAAGTTTAACTTCATGATGTCACAAAATAATTTATTAACAATTTCAATAAAAATTATTGTGTAAATAATCTGTAAACTTTTGCAACATGCAAAAGATCCATTATAAATTATTATTATGCTAAAGAGAAAACAAGGTCATAATGACATCTTCTATTCCGTACACATTTGCTTATTATGCGATACACTGTACTCAGCGATCATCACTTTGCATTCGTATGATGTTTTAATTCATCGGTGTTAGCTATGTTTTAGTATTTTTTATTCAACAATTGCTGATTCGAGTCCTAAATAAATAAAATAAAAAATAATCTTTGAGTAGCCTTAATTTTAATTCTGACTTGATGATTTGGTTACAAGAAAAGATTGGATGTTACAAAACAAGATAACTTCAAGGGAGTAAAAATAGTTGTAGTATAGCCAGATTAACATTTATACTTCTATTCAATAGCTCAAGTCCTATTAGATCTAAAAATTAATTGAATGATTCATTTTCTACATTCTGCTCAGTGATCGCGAAACGCGTAGTAAAAAGAGACTGACAGATCGAAATGCTAGCAGGCGAAGTCGCGGTCAGAAGCGAGTTTATTCATATAGGTAGGATATCAGGTATTGTAATCATGTCACCTCCTTGATTCTATCAATAAAACATCGTAATATTTTAGTATGCAACAGTTTCATTCAGGTGACATCATTCAGTAAAGTTAGAATATTAGTAAACATATGCCTTACAAGGTTTACAATCAAGTCTATTTTGTTCAAAGTTGAAGGTTAAAGGTAAGAATCGATATGGTATCGTTGTCATTGACGCCGCTCTCCGCGACGCCGCAGATTTTGATTAAATGCTATCGCAATCTCTTTCAAAGTGATGGCGACAAAGCGACTATGTTCATAAAACGCCTTGATAACTTAGGCTTACGGCATTTATGACAAATAGATAAATTTAATATTATTGTCATGAAAATATTTTAGCCGTGTGACAAAGTAGACAGGACCACTCTTCCCGTGAATATCGGAAGACGTGACTAAAGAAGAAATATGCGAACATCAAAGCCGGCCGATCTTATCGTCGTTTTTAGACGACAAACGTATGGGCTTATCGTTTAAAATCGATAAAGGTTAACTGGCCAATAATAATCAAATTAAATTATTCTGTCTTTCACGTTAAAACACCTACACAGCTCTTCCGCTAATCCTATTAGAAAGACGCTCAAGTAGGCCTCAAATTCTTAATAACTAGTCTTATGTCGGCTTTCTATGAAGTAACCAGAGTGTGAAGCGCACCACCATTTGTGCCACAATGCATTCTCGGTTCACATATCGGTTACAATCATAATTGATCAATTATTCTTTTCTGTTATTGAGAGCGAGTGTCAATTCATCCGTAATATATTATGTTCAGCATGAGACTATAGTGACATTAACTTCTTGTGCCAGATTCATTTCTTGTTAACTTTTTCTGTGTACTATGCACACGAAAAAACGAGATCTAATAGAGTTATTTACTTTCCTAGCTCTCATTAAACCTAGCCAGCTAGTGCAGCTCAAGTAAACACTGAGTCAGTGGCGGCGTAGCATGGGGTGGCACCCGGGGCGATCATCCCCCCCCCCCCCCGTCATAAGTCCTAAGGCACCCCCTGGTAACCCTCAGGTTTTGGTTTCCTACCGATTCGAAGATTGAAAGATAATCGCACCCCCCCGTATCATGANCACCCCCTGGTAACCCTCAGGTTTTGGTTTCCTACCGATTCGAAGATTGAAAGATAATCGCACCCCCCCGTATCATGACATAGACCGCAGATTTGCCATGCAGATGTGCCAGTGAGTACTAATCTTCGCGACTTTTGTCACCCCCTGATGCTTGGCACCCGGGGCGGACCGCCCCCACCGCCCCCCCCCTTACGCCGCTACTGCACTGAGTGATTGAGTGATTTGTTATGTAGTCGTGTTATTTTGCGACAAAAACGCACAGTCTTCATAGATAAATAATAACGCATAAACATAATAATATGTAAAATGAAAGTTACTCAGAATATAAAAGTTCGTGTTCTTCATCACACGATCATTTACCCTTAGTTTTAATTTTGTATTTCTTTTAATTGTCAGTTTTGTCTACCTATCGACTCTCCGCGGGAATCGAACCTCAGCTGGCATTCTAGTCCACCCCGCCACTTTAAAAGAATACCTTACTGTAATTACACTAATCCATTCCAAATACAGCATGTTTCAATCTTCATTGTATTCATTCTCGTACTACCCAAAGTAAGAACAAATTATGGCAAAAAAATGATCACTTTTGAAGGAGCGCAACTTTATAATAAAATACCCTCAGAAATAAAAGATGTAAGCTCATTTAGTGGATTTAAACTTAAACTTGCTCAACATATTTTAGAAAGTACCTAAGCAGTTGGTTATAAAAAAATAAAATAAAATGATACGAATGCACTAAATGAGTACCTACCTTTTGAACCTACCTACCTCTTGGCGTTTTGAACGATCTATTTAAATACTCATGTAAATGATGTTCTCATGTAAGTGACTATTTGTCTTTTTTGAGAATAAATTTCTTTAACCATTACCAACACAAATTTTCAATTCACAGTTTTTGTTCATGCGTTGAAAAACAAACTAAATATTTGGATCGTAGTATCGCGCTGATTCGCGCTACTGTACAAATATTCAGTAGGTTCTCTACTACGACCCGGTCGAGTGAACTAGGCACCTGGCGGCCGTGACTAGGGTTGCCAGGTCCAAAAACACAAAGGCCGGACTCTGTGCTTCATTTGGCCGGACATTTTACCTTAAAAGCATGCAATTAGTGTCATAGCTCACGAGTGAGTACTATCATCATCGGTTGCCCAACGTCTTGATGCGTGCGCTTCATATTATTCTGTGGCTCGACTTTCGCCTCCTTTGGGCAGACAAATAAAAAGCCTAACAAAGGCCGGACAGGCCGGACAAGACAATATTTGGCCGGACAAGACCGTAAAAAGCCAAACATGTCCGGCTAAAGCCGGACACCTGGCAACCCTAGCCGTGATGTCACCTCGAAGCTCTGGTACGAACGTGGGGAGATGTGCGGGTGAGTGTGAGGAGAGTCGCATCCCAACGAGGTGCGACAGTTAACTCGACCACGTTGCCATTGCGTCCAAGGTCTGGAAGACGTCGATGGACCGACGATCTTGTGAAGGTCGCGAGCAGCGTAGCGCCGTTCGTTGTGGAAATCCTTAGTCCCAATGCCTTTGTCCCGCAGTGGACGTTTTTTAGTTTTGTGTAATGTGTCTTCTGAGATTCCGGATAATCCGCAATGACCGGAATTTTATTACTCCACTCGCGAGCTCTGTCAAATGAATAGAAGTGATGATATTTAATTTGAAATTAAAATTCTTGAGAAGATCCTAGACCTAGTAATACTTTACCGGACATCCTCGAAATTGACTTGAAACTATTTCTTTTGCTTTTTTTCACTCTAATCCAGGGTTTCCCAAACTATGGCCGCGACCCACTGGGTCGCGAGCGAACATTGAGTGGGCCCTACCTGTAGAACGACACACCACCCTACAGATCCGAGTCCTTTATTTAGGCATATTGGTAACGGTTAAATATCCTATAGGTGGGTCCCGAGTTTGGGAACTTGTATTAGATGAGTTGTAGCCCAGACAACTTTAGGAACCACTGCTTTCCTTTCTTCGTAAACAGTGGGAGGTGCCGCGGTGGCGCTGTATCATTCTCCATTGTGTTATTCGCTACCGAAGGCGCCAACCTGATCATTACTTACATGGATCACGCTCTATTACACACCAAAGCTGGCCGAGTTAACCAACGCGTTTCTACTACGAAAACCAGTTTAACTAGGTTTAGTTTTTGTACAGGATTGATTAGATAATGCGCCGAAATCTGGACTAGTTGGGGACTCTAAAAAGCTGTGGATGATAAACGTTTTGGACGTATTTCCTTCTTGCTTGTCTATAAAATTTTCGCGTTAATTACAGCAAATTAGACTACGTTTTTGTTGCAAAGTCTACAACAACTGCATAAAATGCCACTGTGTTTAGTTTTGTAATAGATACAGATATATGACAG